GTTAAAACAAAAGCAGCTGTGTAAATTCTTTACACAACTTAACACAACCCCTATGTAAAGAGTGAACCATCCAACTGGTGTGTTAAGTCGTTACACAACGATTTTGCAGTGTACTACTGCCATTATAACCACTACTACCATTTGTGCCACTACCTCTACTACTACTACTACTACTCCTACCACTCCTACTACAACTACTTTATTACTACTTCCTCTGTTTTACCTTTGCCGTTACTGACGTTTACCTCTTACATTTGTATCTCTGCTATTTCTACACTTATCCGATTGTTAGTGTTACAATCAGCGGAAGCAGCAGCAGCAGTTTTACAAAGGGTATTACTAATTTAGTTGTTAACTGTGACATTAAACTATCATCGATGGCAGTAATACTGATATACGTAGGTGTAATAGGACAAAAAGTGGTATAGGAGTAGTATCATTAGTAGACGTAGTAGTAGTAGTAGTAATGGTAGTAGTAGCAGTCGTAGTAGTAGAAGTAGTAGTGCCCCCCCCCCCCCCCCCGCGAAAAGAGAGAGAGAGAGAGAGGGGGGGGGGAAGAGGAGAGAAAGGAAGAAACGAAAAGGAAAAAAAAGAAGGATATCAGGGCCCGAAAGAAACTTGCCTGCAAGACTGCGCTTCCTCCTCCTCCCCCCTCCCACCCCCCCCCCCCCCCCCACCCCCTCATCCAAAATAATGAGGAAAGGGAAAGAAAAGAGGGAAAAGGTGGATACAGGGAAGGAAAAAAGAGGAATAAAAAAAAAAGAAGGGGAATAACAGTTGCAATGACTACGCTAACAAGTTGTTGGTCGCGGGCACCGAAATGCCCTTGCATTCCTCCCCCCCCCCCCCCCCCCAAGCTCAGGGGGGTGAACGCTAATTTTTGTATTTATTTTTGGTCCTCGAAAATGTGAAAAATCGCACCCCCCCCCCCTCCCCCCCCCCCCCCCCTTAAGCGCCAGTGGAGGGGGCCCATCTAAAAAAAAAAAAAAAAAAACGTAATTAGTGAACGGCCAGTGTCACAACGGTATCAAAATATGCTTATCTAACCAGAGGTTTTAGGCATTTAACTACGATAGTTAAATTCCTAAAACCCCTGAGCTTCCGGGGGCTCTGCACCCTGAACCCCACCTAGGGCCTTAAGGCGGACTTGAAACTCATCTGACCGTGTTTAAATGCCTAAAACCACTGAGCTTCTGGGGCTTCGCCCATCGTCCCCACTAGAGGGCCTAGAGCGGGGCCCTGAATGCTTATCTGATCGATATAAAATACCTCATATCCCTGAGTTTCAGGGGGTTCATCCCCCTGGACTACACGCCAACTGGTTACCTACCATGGCATGAATAAGGTATAAAAATATGCTCATCTGACCGTAATTAAATGTCCATACCCCCTGAGCTTCTCGGGGCTCCGCCCCTTGACCCCCCCCCCCCCCCCCACCAGGGGCATTGCCCCTAGACCCACACCAATTTAGGCTACGCTCTACATGATCGTAAATACTTTAGCCTCCCCCACCCAATTTGTAAAACGTTCAGCGGGGCCTGCATGTAAGAGTAGGGTGAAGCGGATTTTTGGTCTGCCCCCCCCCCCCCATATGGAAACGTTGTATCATCCGCTCAATCTGACTTGCATGCATAGAAGAAATAAGCATTTTTCCATGAAAAAGAGAAGTTTTCTAAAATGTGCGTTTCTTTCAAGCATTAGGGCGCCCGGAAGTCACTCGGGTAACAGTTCATAAAGTATAATATTAAAAGACCATATGCAAATTGTCTGTACTTTTGTCGGAAAAAATACATTTATCCAGCACAATGTCGTCTCTTTTTGCGTTGGAGAAGAGCCAATGGCGAGTTTCAATCACACTTTAGCCGCTCTCGCAAGCTCTCACTCGTTTCACTGTGGTCAAGCGACTTTGGGGCAAGCGGTTAATGAAAATATTAATCGTTAGCTTTCTTCTGGTATTAAACTTGTTTTTATTGATTGTATAATTTTGTCGGAATAAAGGAAACAAAAAGGCTCGACCAATAACTTATCAGTGTCTGAATTGACCTTTTGACCTTGAATTCCCTGATGCAAGCGCACTAATGACGTCATCTTCGCTAAATCGGCGTCTTAAAATGAGACACTTTCACAATGTTTATACATCTTTTTTTAACTATTAGTAAGATTTAACATATTTTTTCTGATATCACTGAAGTTTTGGGTTTTATTTAATGAGTAATTTTAAAATAAGAGCCATTTTACTGTTTTAATTTACTGGATCGTACCATTAAAAGTCGCAGGGTAGAAAGATGCATTTTCCAACCGCGCCAAATTTAATTTACGTTCTAACATTCTGTTAAATGGGTTCGTGTTGTTAAGAATCCACTGCTTTCTGCTCCAACAAACGTCCACATGCAGAGTCGTTTATCAACTAAATTATTCAAATTTATGGATGCTTCCTAGCTTCCCAGGTGTTTGTGTTGCTGTTGAAGAATTTCATTCACCTGCTATCATTCTTTGTACTCCAATTGCCAGAACACAAATTTCATTTTGGTTTCATAGTTTCATCGGAGTCGTTTATTAACTATATGTATTTAAATTTATGAATGCTTCCTCCCCAGGTGTTTGTGGTGTTAATGCATATTATTCTTTGTACTCCAATTGTTAGAATACAAAATGCATTTTCGTTTTATAGTTTCATGCAATAAGTAAGTCAATAAAAGAATATGTTCTGCACAATAAAAACAATGTGTGTCCCTATTGTACAATGTAATGTGTCCCCTCATTTTGTAATAGTTAATTTACCCATTCACATAATGGAACTACCTGCCCGATGAAGCCAGTGGCCTGTGACCCCTGAACACTCAACACCGTGTGGGAGTCAGTTCGTGATCAAATTCTTTTATGAGACAAATACAAGCAAACGTTTCCATATGCCCCCTCCTTATTGTTTTTGCTTATTACGCCACTGCTAATCACCATTACGTACACATATTTGGGTCACATAATTTCATATTGAAAGAAATTGAAATATAACAGATACCTAACTGTGTCACACTATAATTCTGAAATGAAAACATACTTGAATATATACGCGCTGTAATTAAGAATAATATTTTGAAAAGATCGCTATTTACAAGAAACTAAAGATGTCTTGGGCAGGAGGAGGTCTTTTTAATTTCCATCAAACTTAGCGAGAAGCAAAAACAAAATTAACTTTCATTTGGGAATTACGACACACAAAATATGAGATCCCTCTTGCCAGGAGAAAGGAACAAAAATGAAAGAGAATTAAACAACGATAGAAGAGAGGTACGAGAGCAGTAAAGGAGTCCCGGAAAGGAGTAAAGATGGTTTGTATATTTAACCAAAAAGAACATAACAATGATATAAACCTGAATTGAATCACATATCAATTGTATTCCATTCAAGGAAAACAAAAATTGGAATTAACTTTCCTTGACATTCCGCATGCCACCTAAATTTATCAATGTATTTCTTACATATTTTTTTTTTAATGCATATATTTGAATTGTAATGTTTTGTTGGAATAAATTTGAAATTGATTGGAGTTTTTTTATAAAACTGATAGCGATACGCGCATATCGTTGAAATATTGTGAGAGGATGGGCAATCGTGTTTTCAAATTTTATTACAAGGTTGAGAGGACATGAGCCCCTTAACGCTGGCGTATTGACGGGGGGGGGGGGGGAGGGGGTTAGTTCTAATTCGATACCAGTGATTTACAAATGTTGCAGAAAAGACCAGATTTTCCGGTATTTTTTCTCAATTTCTTTGTAAGTCATACCTTTTGATGCGGTTGTTGGCAAATTAGAAATTCCCAAATTTACAGTCGGGCATAAAAAAGGACCTTCGGCGGTTCTTTGGGTGCTCATCTGACCGTAAGTAAATACCTAAAAGCCCTGAGATTTTATTCTGCCCCCCCCCCCCCTTCAAAAGGTATGTGCTCATTACGCCATAGTGCCCCTGGAAGGTGAGCCCCCTGGAATGCCCCCCCCCCCCCCCCCCCCAGCCCAAACTGCTTCCGGCGCGCCTCTCTCTCTCTCTCTCTCTAATATACTTACTTATACTTGATTATATATACTCTTTCTCTATGTCTCTCTCTCTCTCTGTATATAGAAAGTGAAAGAAAGAGAGGAAAAGAGAAGAGAGAGAGAGAGAGGGAGAGAAAGAAAAAGAAAAAGGGGGTATAGCCACAATACTGTGGGTGTAGCATAGAGATAGCCTGTGTCATCCTTTGCTTGCATCATAATTTCACACTGTCTAAGTCGATCATGAATACAAGTTAACATTTCCATTTGTGAGGAGAGTTATGGTGATTTGAATAAAGGATCGGACAGAGAGTGCAGAGAGAGAGAGAGAGAGAGAGAGAGACCAGAGGTGGAACTTATGGACAAGAATGACTTGAAATCAAAAGCAACATCTGCGGGATAAGGGAACTATAGGAACAACAACATTAAAGGTAAAGACCAGTTTTGGAGAAGAAACCAATCAGGAATAAATACATCGGGCACATCGGGGGAAAAAATAAGACTATTATAGAGCTAATCTATTTGTGGGAGGCTAGAGCACAGGGAGGAGGAAGAGTAACAAAAGGCCTACTGCTGAAAGCAGAATGAGAGATCGGAGAGACAAAACAAGGTAATAAAATCATTAATTTACGACATAATTATGGACATGAATGAATATTGCTTATTTGAATTAAGTGGACTCTACAAATAATATCTTTTTCCATTTGATAAAATGAAAATGGAAGATTATCACATTTTATTTTCTATAATGGTCACATGAATATAGATATATCTCTTCCTGTATTATAGAAAGTGACCACTTAGCTAGCACCTGTTCGTTGGTTCGTATTTAATCGCAAAAGATCAGAGTTCCTCTTATCGCATCCCCATTGACTCTACTCCGCAATCTCGCATGGCGCCATCCCCGTAATACAACACACAAGTGTGGTAACTGCAATAGTGTGGTACACGTACGATGGATAGGAGAGACGTGAACACACACTAATGTGAAGACGCGCGGCACTTGTGCACAGCATTTACATGCATTACCAATCAATCCGCTGCAACTTGTTGACTGATACGGCAAGTGAAAACAAACAGGTAGTTATTTATTGATTTTAATTATAAAATACGTTTGTATTACAATGGATATTTGATTTATGATATGAAACATTGTTAAATGTCCTTGCCATGGGGAAATGTATTTGATTATGTTGTATGTTCAGCGCTAGCGGACAACGCGTCTCCGTGAGAGAGCGAAGGGGGTGACAATGTACGGAAGTATATCTCTGTGTGTACACCTCGTCATCGCATCCCCGTGAAAGTTGTGACTTCACAGATGGTGTACGCTGTACGTGCGTGCATGTGAGGCCACTTTCGTGCGATGTGGTTCCAAGACGGGAGAGCAATGGACTGCGATCAGATGAGAACGGAACGTACTTGCATTAGATGTGTGTTTAAATGCATATAAATAGGTTTGTGTTGGTACATATGCATATGGATGAAAAATGCATTTTCAAAAGCCATTTTGTTGAAGACTGTGTGAGTGTGTCAGTTGGTGATCACATTGATTGCAGCAGCTATTTTGGATAATTATAATTTGGTGAAGATGACAGATATATATGGCCATTAAATTGTGTTGCTATGGTGATAGTGATGGTGGTGATGATAATTTGGTGATGGAATTGTCTCTGAGAGTTAATTATCTGAAGATATGTTAGATTATGTATGATAATGAGTTAGGATTGATTAATGAAGACCGGGGTATAATTTTGAGATATTCATTTTATTGTTCATCAATTAAGTATTTCCATGCAATTCCTTCCATTGGATTACTATCACAGTATCACTACCCCCCTAAGTGCGCGGTATAAAGTCAGTACGGGCCGATATTTTATGTATTACAAGCCGGACTTTGTTGCGTGAAAAGTACCCCTTTACCGGAGATTTTGAGAACATGAATGTGGTCCCTCCGTTCCTGAGTGGGGGGGGGGGGGGGGGGGGGGGGGGGGGAGGGGAGGGTGGAGCCTCAAATATATAACTGTAAATTTAGAATGTAATAATAATAATAATATTCCACATTTATATAGCACTTAATTGACTATGACTCTAAGTGCTTTACAGATAAAGTATTACCCCAGTCACCAGATTCAGGCTTACCCGCACACAATGTATGCACATTCTCCACTCCCCGGGGAGCACTTCAGCCAGGCACCATTTGTACAGATCCTCACGATGCTGAGCAAATGACATTAAATGTTCGCATCCTACCTGGTACTGTACCCATTTAACACCTGGGTGGAGTGTGGAAATTGGATATTAAACTACTTGCCATTAATACTTATCACAGCACTTCTTAAAATGGGGACAACTAATATACTCAGGCAAATATCAGCCTATATTATATATTGCTTAAAGATAAACTCCAGTACTGGTAAAAAACATAAAAAAATTCTCACAGAATCAAACGAAACTTACACTGAATGTTCAAGATTACAAATAAATGACATGTGCCAAACAATTTTGGAAGAAAATGTATTCTGGCTGAGTAATGAGCATAGAAAGACAAGGAAATCAAGGTAGTACTAGCCCCGACATCATGTGTGTTGTCCCATATATAGCTTTCTATGTGAGTGCTTGTTACTTTACCAAGACTCGGTCAAATTTGTTATGATTTTGATGACTCCAGAACCTTGCAGTGCACAGCAATACTTACATGCTACATGATCAACTGTTTCTGATCCTTTCCACACTTTTTCTTTCACAATGCAATCGCATTACCAGTACTAAAGTTTATCTTTAAAACACAAATGGGTATATAAATATTTTTGCTAAAAGCAAAGCATCGTTTATTATATGCCTATCAATGTAGTTTTTATTGCAAAATCTTCACTATTGGGTAGTTTATATGTGAGTATTAATGTTGTTGTTGTTGCTCTTAGTGTATTAACAGAAGGGGGCAGACCAGGAACGATCTAAAGGAGAATAAAAATTGGCTCAAGAAGTTCTGAACAAAAGAACTTGATTAAATCTACTCCATATGTTCATCTTATGGTTATATTACTGATTTTCAATTTGTAAAAGCAGTTACGGAATATCTGTAGTCACCCAAATTCCATGGCATTGTGATATTATTTGATGTACTTGGTCATTTACATGTATGTGAATCTGCCTGTAAACTGGAGGATCAATAAATGTACAGGTGAATGAATGCATGTTATTAAACCCAACTACAGTTTATACAAGAAAATGCATAATTTCTGTATTTTTCTTCTGTGAGTAACCTGAAATTGAGATATAACATAGTAGAGGTGTCGTGGACGAGTGGATATGTCACTGGACTGTGGATCACAAGGTCCGCGGTTCAAGTCCCACCGCGGCACTAATGTCCTTTGGCAAGACATTGATCTACATTTGCCACTCTCCACCCAGGTGTTAAATGGGTACCCAGTAGGATGGGAAAGCTAATGTGCTTAGATTAGCAAGTGTGCGCTTGTAAAAATGATGCACTGGCTGGAATGCTCCCCAGGGAGTGGAAAATGTGCATACATTGTGTGCGGGTAAGCCTGAATCCGATGACGGGGGTAATAATATAATTGCAGGGAACAGATTGGAGAACAGTATGAATACTGATGAGGCTACCCTGGGTAAACAAGACATATTATTATTATTATTATTATTATAGATGATGACATGTTTCCTCATCATATGATTGTGTGAAAGCGTATATGACCAGGCATTTATTTTGCCTAACGCGTATTTATCCAGTGGTAATGACCGGTCATTATCAACATCATGTTATAAAACATCACTTTATTAAACAAATAAAACATCATTTAATTAAACGAATAAAACATAATCTTATAAAACAATTAATTCACATCAATTTGTTCGGCATTAGTATAATTACCCAAACTCAGTACCTTCAAAACAGTCAAAACTTTCACCTCGGGCTTGTTAGACTGTTCGAAAGGTACATTGTGTGGGTAATTGTTACTAATGCCCTCACTGATGTGTATTATTTGTATACTTTCATTGACAATGCGATTCATTTCAGTCTTTCTTGCAGGAGCCTAACAACCCTTCAAGCCACAATGACAGTCTCTAGATCTTTTCCATGACTGATTTCCTCTCTGGACTATGACAGCGCCCATGACAGCCCTCGGTATGGGAAACCAACGATACTTTGACGTCTACCTGGACGACCCCAGTTCCAGTGAAGATGAATACGTTGACCTCAGTCGACCTTTGATGTCCCCAAGGAAGTTTGCTCGCAGAATACCCGCACGCCCCACCCCGGTGAAGACGAACACGCCAGACACAAAACTACCAAAAAGGAAGCCGGTATGGTACTTTAAGAGGAAGAAGGATTGCCTCCAGGCTTTCTATGTTGTCATGATCATTATGGTGATTGTTCTATTTGCCTTAGTTTTGATGAGGATCTTGAAGGATGCCGCCAAACACCGGACCAGTGATGACGAAGATACAAATCATCTATCTGCCATTGCCTCATTCGGGAACTTTGCCATGGGTAGGCCTTTTGGGATCGGCATGCCGATTAAACCCTCGGTAAAACCCACTGTGTCTTCCAATTTGAAAGAACCTCCAAAGACCCCCACTGTTGCTAGTCAAGATGAAGATGAACCATCCAAAGCTGATGCTGCTAACCCGCAGGAAGAGCCTCAAAGAACAGTACTACCTTGTACCAAGTACACTCTCCAGGATGTCTGGATCCAGAACATTCCACAGCTACAGATAGAGTCAGGCATCAGACTCTTGGATGTCAACCAAGACAGTGTGCTTGATGTGATCATAGGATTTGCAACAGGTAAAGCTTCATGACCACAATTAAATTCCTCCTTTAACATTTCCTGTTAAGCCAAATAAAAAAGGAGGAGGCCCTTGTTTGTCTTTTTTCAAAATGGCTGCTCAAAATGGCCGCTCGGCATGTTTTAATCCATGAAAGACAAAAAAAATATATAAAAAATAGGAGGCGGCCCCAAAAAAGGAAGTGGGCGGACGGGGACGCTAAACATGTTATTTGTTTTAATGGTCTTAGCTTTTGAAAAAAATTGTGTTGACAAAAATGGTCAGAAATGTTATCGAAGCAAAGTTACATGGTTAGGTATAATTATTACATTGGATATGGCTGCTTTCCTCTGTCAGGAGGCAGGTAAAATAACATCACCAATCACAATAACAACCTTTGCTTGTCTGCAGATGCCAATTCATATTTTGCTCATCTGTACCTGATGTATCTTTTTGATGTTTATAATTTGTAATCGTGTACTGACATGCAAATGAAACAAATTTCCAATCATTGGACAATAAATTTCAATATGAATATAATATATGAATATGTTCTATCTATTTCAAGGGGATTATACCATGTACCGGTATTTAGATGTGTTCAGGTCCAGGGCCCCTATTCAATTCAATACTTAAGTACAAAATTTAAGCTTTTTACTTAGTATTTGGCTTAGATAAAATACTTAGCCAATTATGGTATTCAATTCGCACTTTTGGCTAAGTATTTTACTCTAAATCTAAGCCAACTCCATACCACACTTAAGCCAATTATTTGGAGGCCTTGATAGGCAGGCATATGGTTTTCTTAGGCAGTATTATATCCTGCGCACAATTATATTAGCGCGCATTTATTGCAATGCATCACATTACTTTTGATTGACCGTGTGACGTCACAATGCTTATCAGTAAGTATTTTACCTAGATTTTGTCTTACGTAAGTATAAGTCTAAAATGCGATTTGAATACGAGATAAGTCAATTACTTAACTTAGCCATTTACTTAGTAAATTTCTTACTTATGCTAAGTATTGAATTGAATACCGGCCCTGGAGAGTATCATTTGCCATGTCCCTTGTATTGGAATTTAGAGCTTTGGATTCCTTGCTTGCTTACGTTACCAGGGTGGTCCAGAAATAAAAATTTAACCATATAAAATTGGAACGAAGAAAGAGTATGAAGTGATGTATGCGAAGCATGGAGGTTCTTTGTGGCTAGGCTCCAGGGCCCATATTCAATTCAATACTTAGCATAAGTAAGAAATTTACTAAGCTGGCTAAGTTAAGTAATTTACTTATGTCGTATTCAAATCGCATTTTAGAATGGTACTTACGTAAGACAAAATCCAAGTAAAGTACTTAATGATAAGCATTGTGACGTCATACGGTCAATTAAAATTAATGCGCAATTGATGCGTTGCAATAAATGCGCGCAGATATAATTGTGCGCAGGTTATAATACTGCGTAACTGAGAAAACCATTATGCCTGCCAATCAAGGACTCCAAATAAATGTAATTGGCTTAAGTCTGGTATGGAGATTTTGCTTAGTTTTAGGGTAAAATACGTAGCCAAAAGTGTGAATTGAATACCAAAATTGGCTAAGTATATTATCTAATCCAAATGCTAAGTAAAAAGCTTAAATTTTGTACTTAAGTATTGAATTGAATACGGGCCCTGGGCAATGCAATCGTATGACCAGAATTGATATTTACCTTTAAATTCAACTGATTTTCTGCAGATGTCGGTTCATATTTTGCTGATGAGTACCTACTATGTTCCATTTACTTCAACGGATCAACACCATGTTTTGGAGGAGTCCTAGCGTTGGATGGAATCACTGGTCAGGAGCTCTGGAGGCACTATACCAGTATGGAAGTCTTCGCTGTTAACTGCAATGGTGACCTGACCGGGGATGGGGTCAACGACTGTGCCATAGCAGGCAGAGCTGGGGTAAGTTCTGCATCATAAGTGCAAGTTCGACGACATCCCTTTGAGACGTGTGTTTATGTTTTTTAGTCTGAACAACCCTTTTTTTTCACAGGATAAACAGTTTATAATCAAAGCAATTTCTTTCAAAAGGAAGTTTTACCAAAATATTTCTTTTACTTGTTATGCATAACAATTAACAAGTAATTGAAATATTAGATTTCAGAAAATCTGGGCATTTTTGTTGTATGTGTCCTTCAAAATTCATGTGAGTTCAACGATGAGATTCACAACAGGGCAAACAAAATTATTTGGCGGAGTCTGTTGACTGAAAAAAATGCTGTTTATCAGCATGTCAAAACACATGGTTCCAATGAGAAAAGAAGACTATGCAAACTGCATACCTTCATGTAAATGCCAATAAAACTACATAATTTTGTTTATTTGCATTTCAATGTAACAAAACCATCATAAAGGCAAGTTCAACGACATCCCTTTGAGACGTGTGTTTTAAAACTGTATGCATTTCAATTGGATGTCAGCAATCTTGTATCATTTTGTTTATTTGAATTTTAATGTAATGAAACGATCATAAGGCAAATTCGACGACATCCCTTTGAGGCGTGTGTTTATGTTTTTTGGTCTGAATATGCTATCACTGACAGCTAGGATAAACAGTTCTGAATCAAAGCGAGTTTCTTTCAAAAGGAAGTTTTACCAAATCTCAAGATTAGGTTTTCATGTGAAGGCTGTTAATACATGCAGTACTTCTCCCTCTTCAAATGTTATTCTTGAATTTAACCCATTAACTACAGAGTTCATTAATCCCCATAGGCTTAATACAGTAGTCAACCAGTTCCAGTAGGCAAGGGTTTAAGTTGCTACATGCTGTACGTGACTTTTGCAGGATAAATGCTAGACCTGATGGTATGTGCTATTGTATGTATGTACATCAGTAGTTGTTGTGCTATGTATTAACAGCAAAACCTGTGATTGATCTACATAATACAGAGTGGCAAGAATCGTTTTCAATAGAGGTTTAAAAGTTTGGTGTAAGGCTCAAGTCAAGCTTGGCTGCTCCCTTTATTGAGCAATGGCCTTTGATATCCCCAATCCATTGAGGCCTAGCTAGCTGCTGATGGCTTTGTGGGCTGTTCTATTGTTCAGGATCAGATTTTGGAATCTTTTGAAAACGTGAAGGCTTCAGTGATTCGCAGCTCGGCGCTTCTATTACACGTCAGCGACCATGACGAGATATATGATAACAGACAGACAACAGCACAAACTAATACCCCATTCACAGTGGCCTCAAACACCGCGACAGCAGCGGGACTGTCCCGCTGCTGTCGCGGTGTTGTCTTCAGTGTGAAGGCTCGGACCCGTTATAAACTATCGCGGGATAACACCGCCTCGCGATAACGCCGCGACAAACTACCGCTAGGTTCGCCTAGCTACAGCAGCGGGACAGTCCCGCTGCTGTCGCGGTGTTTACTCAGTGTGAAGGCTCTCCGCTATAACACCGCGACAAACACGTGTGATTTGTTTACTTACCTATCACTGACCTCTTTTCTCCAGCAATGGGGAACATAAAGTGAAATAGAAATAAAGTAACCAGTGGATTCAAATTGATTTTATTATTATGTAGATATTATAATTATCCAAATAAAAATATTTCACACTTCAAAAAATTAAAATATTCTGACTGGAAGCAATAAAAATGCTAGTTTTTTAAAAAGTAATATGATCGAGGATACAAAAAGCAACTTGACATGTTTAAAGTGTGTAAAGTAAGCGCGCGCAATTTCAAGCAATCAAAAACCCCGCGCTGAAGTATTTCCGGTCATATCGGGGTCACTCGCGGGTCATGAGCCATGCATACACGTGTTTGTTACGGAGGTAATAAAAATCACCCGCTGCAGCGTGAATGGGTACATGATATTTATCCCGCTGCTGCAGCGGGATAACTTTTCTACTGTGAATGCATTTGTAGCGGTGTTATGGCGGTGTCGCCGCTCCGCTACAACGCCGCTACAAATTTCAAAACCACTGTGAATGGGGTAATAGTGTTACATTGGCTTGCCTTGAGTATAGCTGAGATAGATCGGTCAGTCTGTAATTGTCAGATTGGCTGAGCTACATGTATTAGCATGGTTAGCATGTTATTCATGTAGTTATTATATACACTGTACATGTAGTACAAAAGATGCCATACATACCAAGCAGGTGTCTATGTTCATGTATGTATTGCATTCAATATATGGAAGATGGGTTTAGTACCGGTATTTAACCCCTACAATACTGAATTGTCCCATTGCCCTACATGTATAGGCTTACAACCTGCCTTCTGCAGCTAGGCAATGGGTTAAGAGAATTCCTATGATTTTTCCCCTCTTGATCTTTCTATCTTTCTCTTTCTTTCTCTCTCCCTCTCTCTCCCTCCCTCTATCTCTCTCCCTCCCTCTATCTCTCTCCCCCCCCCCTCTCCTCTCTCTCTCCCCCACCCCCTTCTCCCTCTCTTTCCCTCCCCCTTCTCCCTCCCCTTCTCCTTCTCTCTCTCTCTCTCTCACCCACTCTTTCTCTCTCCTGACCCTCTCTCCCTCCTTCACCTCTCTCTCTCTCTCCCTCTCTCTCTCCCTCTCCCCCTCCCCTCTCCCTCCCCATCCCCCTCTCCCCTCTCTCTCTCCCTCTCTCTCCCCTCCCCTCCCCCCCCCCCCCCCCCCCCCCCCCCCCCCCCCCCCCCCCCCCCCCCTCTCTCTCTCTCTCTCCCTCCGTCTCTCTCCGTCTCTCTCTCTCTCTCTCTCTCTCTCTCTCTCTCTCGCTTACCTTTTGGCAAGGTTAAGCAGGGTTTGATTTATACCATTCTAATGCTTTAGGTGGTTAGAATTGTCCTTCTTCTCATACTCACAACATTAAAGTATGGGACCACTGGGGACTGCAATTCATAAATTATCATGATGTTTCATAAACTTGAGCTTCGTTTTCTGCCATCTATGTCAACTCAATCATATATGTGGACAAAATTTTTTTTTTTTTTATAACAGCTCTGTACAATTAACTTCTGTTACCATTTATGTTGTCTAGCTGTTTCCTACAGTGAGACCTGTACATATACAGACCGCTGAAGAAAGACAAGAAAGGTAGTCTTTAAAGGCATGTGGTCTTTAATCGTTAAGTAGAGGTTTCAATGAAAAACTTCAAGGAATACAAAGTACATGTATACATGTATATGGTCTCTATAGTGCGTCCCCCAAAAAACTATCCACTTTCTAAATAGCTGTCAAATAAAAAATATATGATTCTGGGGGAAAAGTTTTTGTTTGGAAAGCTCATGAGCTGAAAACAATTCCTGCTTGGGTGAGCACTGCTCACTTTGTAAAGGGTATGAAAATTATTTGCGAGAGGTAAATCCTTTGAAGCCTACAAAATTGAGGGTGAAATGATACATTCATGATTTGCTGAGTGAATTTCATGGTTTATTAAACCAAACTTTTATTTTTTTATTGTAGCATTGTAACTTTCCCTGGTAGACTCAGTGGCGTGTTTATGGGAGTCAGGATGGGGTGATGGTACATGTTGTAATTTCCATGTTACAAACTGTTATTTTTTACATCTGTGACTTTGAATAAAAGCCTTCACCCCACATTTCAATTACCATTTACCTGAAGAATAAGTAGCCGACATCTTGGACATTCCTTTTTTCAACAAACCATATTTGAATACTCAATTTACATAATCCCTACCTGGGTATCAAGTAAATCAATGAGATGTTCAACGAATCTTACAATAATTGAAATGTGGGGTGAAGGTTTTTATTCAAAGTCACAGATGTACAAAATAACAGTTTGTAACATGGAAATTACAACATGTACCATCACCCCATCCTGACTCCCATGAACACACCACTGAGTCTACCAGGTAAAGTTACAGTGCTACAATAACAAATACAATTCATATTCAACTCATGCATTAAATGTTCATCCCATAAACCACAAATTTCACTCAGCAAACCCAATTTCATCACAATTGATCATAACATGGTCATACATGTCATCCTCAATTCTGTAAGCTCCAAAGGATTTACCTCTCACAATTTGGAAACCTAATTCCTGCGCAACCTAATTTTCATACCCTTTACAAAAGTGAGCACTACTCACCCAAGCATGAATTATTTTCAGACTTTTTGGTGTCATATGAACATTGAGTTTATGAGCTTTCCAAACATATAAAACTTTCTCCCCAGAATCATATATTTTTTATTCAGCAGTCATTTCAAAAGTGTATAGTTTTTTTGGGGGATGCATGGTATAGACAGGTAGTTTCTCTACAGAGGTGGTCACTAAGGGTCACTAAGGGTCACTAAGGCAGCTTTGACCTTGAATCCAAAGATATTCATTGATATAGCTTTTGTATTCATTTTTGTTGTTGCCACAAATGTCTTTTAACCCATTGACTACTGAGTTCATTAATTCCCATAGACATAATACAGTAGCAACTCAGTTCCCTTTAATAGGCAAATGGTTAAAGGTAAAGACCAGTTTTGGAAACGCCCTCCTCTCAAAAAATGAAATGGAAGCTCTTATTACCAATCATGTGAAAGAATATGTTTTGACTAATACGTGATCATACAAATTTTGCTGAGAAACCGCCTACTCATTGATATATTTGGTAAATTATTATATCTATTCAGACCTGATAGATATAACACACGTGTGAGGGTAGTCCCATATACATCTTTCTGTGTACAGTGCTCGTAACCTTAACAAGACTGGGCCAAATTTCTTATCATTTTGATGATTCCAGAACCTTGCAGTACACACCAATACTTATATGCTAGATGATCAACCTTTTCTGATCGATTCCACAACGTTTCTTTCACAATGCAATCGCATGACCATAACTGGTCTTTATCTTTAAACAAAACAATGGAATTGAACTGAACTGAATTGAAAGCTTTAAAAAAAATTCACTTTTTACCTGAAATCACACTTCTCTTTCATGATTGTTTTTCTTCTGTACCAGGTGATGGAATTAGTTGATGGAGCTAGCGGGATACTACTTTGGAAGTATCATGTACAGGAATCAGACGAAGCTCTCAGCAACTTCTACACGGCCCAGTTCATCCATGATGTCAACAACGACGGTGTGAGAGACCTGCTCAATGTCCTGGGGGGTGACCCTATCAGAAAACCAGGTAAAATATTAATTATCCTTAAAGAGAAGGTTGAGTTCTGGGAAAAGGTGAAAAATAATTTTAGAGCATTATCATTGTATTATAAATGCAAGTGTGAAAAGACATCAAATAAAAAATGTTCTCTGAAAAGCATGGCTCTTTGCGGCAATACAGATTGCGATATTTCTAGTTATGATTACACTTTGCAGCTGAATTATGAACAATTTACATTGGCAATAATACATACAAATGTGGTTTAACATTCTCACAAAGTATAACAAAATTCATAACAAAATTCATAACCAATATGACTAAGGCAATAACAGTCATATTAAGTCAGGTTTAAAATATATTTTGTGAGGTGACACAAGAGTGGGTCAAAGGATGACTAAGCAGGCCCTTTGCTCTTTAACACATGCTGTCATTCCTATACACGCTCCTATTCTCACTCCTGTATACATGTGTGGACACTCTCATAAACACTCACATGTACACTGCTCCCATTCACACTCCCATACACTAACTAAGGTCTGCTCGCTCATCCCTGGACTTCTCTTGCCGTGTCAAGAAGTGTTGGATATTTCAAAATATAAACAACAACAAAACAATATTATTGGTGGTGACCCATTGAGAAAAAAATGATCATATTTATAGTCCTAATCACAGCAATGTACATGTATTTGATGGAGACCTTGTTAGAAAAAGCAGTTATTAATAACCATATTCATAATCATAATCATATTCATAATCATCATCATAACAATACCTTTTTCAGAAAGCTCTGTTCGAACATGATAGTAGAAGACTTAAAGCCGTCAGTCCCCTGTGTACTTACCTACAAGCATACACATGCTTTCTTAAAGGAGCTACACAAAGAAAATTCACTAACAACTCATAATTAGAACAAATTACATATGGATGGAAAGATTTTCTCTTGAAAAACACAAATAATTTGCTGAGAAATCATATAGATATCATGGAAAGGCGTAAAATGCAATTTTTCAAGACCCTTCTTAGACCCCTGAACGCCCCTGAACGTAAATTAAACACACTAGCGTAGCGAGCTCTGAATAGTGACGTCACACACTGGACAAACAGCTCAGTGCCGTGTAGCAGTCTGCAGCTAGCCAGCAGTGTCCCGTATGTGACATCACAAATATTGATGCTCTATAAGAAGGACCGCTGAAGGCAGAAAATCTGGATCTCAAAACTAAAAATTTTTGAGAGTTGATTACTGCGGGCCCCAAACATATATTATGGAGAGAAAAGTTGTTGTATATGATCGACAAGACTTCTCCTTCGCAATGATATGAGTTTTGCATCAATTCAAAACACTTTTGATTCTTCGTGTGGCTACTTTAACAGTCAGGCAAAACAAACAAATCCACCAACCAAACATCCATCAAACATTTAGGTCACGATCTCAGGTGATGACAGATAGGATGGCGGTAGCCCACTTCTAGTAAGATCAGGATGAAATGTTCTTTTAATATGTGGTTTATTAAAGCCCCACTGCACTACTTAATGCTACTTGCGCCATCTATATAGCAAACAATGCCTAATCAGTGCCTTTAGGTCCCCCATGATCCCCTTTTTCTTATGTTAATTGAGAGCTGATTTGATGAGATAACCACCTGTCAGTGACCTTTGCAGGGAGGTCTAATTCCCCTGGCCAAACTAATGCAGACAGGCTTTTAAAATGATGTACAAGATCTGAGATTTTTCTAGTGATTTCAAATGACTGAAATCACATTTTTTTACTTTTATTCTCCTTTAAAACCCTATTGTCCTACTTGTAGCTACTTGCTCCCTCTATAGTGAAAACTTCCCCAATCGGTGCCTGTCGGTCCCCCATGATCCTCTTTTTCTTTTGTTAGTTGAGAGCTGAGTTAATGAGATAGCCACCTGTCAGTGACCTCGCTGTGTTGTCTAATCCCTTCTGGCCCAGTAGTATTGACGGTCTTTTAGATAGAGTGATGTGTAAACTTCAAACCCTTTAATTTGAACTTGTTTGTTTTCCATACACGCAGGTGCAGAGGTGGAGCACAGTGGAAATCTGATGATACTGAGCGGATTTGAAGGTAACGTAATCAGTAGGTGTGAAGTACCCGACAGGATGGAATCATACTATTCACCACAGGTTAGTTCAATACCCTGTTTACACAAGCAGATGAAAATCGTAGAAAGAAACGCTGTTTGAAGGTAGCGTAATCAGTAGGTGTGAAGTATCCAACAGGATGGAATCATACTATTCACCAGAGGTTAGTTCAATACCCTCTTCACACAAGCAGATGAAAATCATAGAAAGAAACGCTGTTTGAATACTATTCACCACAGGTTAGTTCAATACCCTCTTCACACAAGCGGATGAAAATCGTAGAAAGAAACGCTGTTTCAATACTATTCACCACAGGTTAGTTCAATACCCTCTTCACACAAGCAGATGAAAATCATAGAAAGAAACGCTGTTTGAATACTATTCACCACAGGTTAGTTCAATACCCTCTTCACACAAGCAGATGAAAATCATAGAAAGAAATGCTGTTTGAATACTATTCACCACAGGTTAGTTCAATACCCTCTTCACACAAGCAGATGAAAATCGTAGAAAGAAACGCTGTTTGAAGAATTATCGCGGGGCTGGAACAGCCCAGGACACATGGGTGTGCCACATCTATGTCTGGACCCCAAAAGTGTCAAATTTTAAATGATCTTAAAAGTTAAATCCGGCAAAGCCCCTCCCTAAAAGGTAGGGCAGACAGAGCCCAGGGCCCCGTCTTACAATGAGTTGCAATTGATCGAAATCGATTGCAAGTCCTCCAATCAATCACAAGTTTGCAATCTCCTATCTCTTTTGTACATACATGTAGTTGCGATTGATATCAACTCTTTGTAATACAGGGCCCAGATTATTGTTCAACAGAAGGGGCGTACTCGTGGAAAAGGGAAGTGGGTATAATATAAAGAAACGGTTCATTTGAGATATATATTAACTGTCTGCTTGACAGCTGGACAATCCTCGGTGCACTATTGCAATAAGCTGCACCCAATTGTTTGGTTTTGCACAATATTACATTCTCATTAGACAGTCACATTACATTGGAACCCTGATTCTTAAAAGGGTTTTTGTTCTATCCAGTCATCAGCTTTGCAATACAATATTTGGTCAAGTTGCATTCAGAGGAGAGATTAAATTCATTAGTTCTGATATAGCTACCGTATATGGTTTTCATATTACTACCTGTGTTACTTTCAATACCCTTGTACAGTGTAATATTTATACCAAGGTCAATGTGTACTTCAACAGGCCTGTATTGATATTAATATAGTAAACTAAGCTCCTTGAATTTTGTGAGTGGTTTTCTGGCCAGTTCGCTAGCCAATGCTGCCGTGTACCTGAGCTGATAGGCATGGCAATCATTTCTTTTTTACAACATATTTCCCTGAGGTGATTGCTCTGCAGTCACTACCATACATTATATTTTTTATCCATGAAATCTTGTTCAGTGATTGGTCAACAAAGCATCACGTGACCCAACATAACATTGCTATGATGGAACCGTGACGTCATCCATGGTATAGTGCACTATACCATGGCACTATATTATGGATGATGTCATATACATGTATATGCGATCAATCAAGATCAATGTGCTATCGGTCGCGGTATGTCGGTCTGCGCTGTTTTCACCAGCCAGAGCAACTGCAATATTCGCTACTTCAGTGACAGTAAACTTTAGTATTAATATTTAATTAATAAAGTTGTTTTTTCGAGTTGTTGTTTCTTCGAGGCTACGCCCCTCAGAAAATAGTGCTATTCCTGCCACCTTGATCCATAATTTTAACTAGAGCCTCTCCGTGCATGGTATATTTGTTTACTAACCAAAAATGTTAGTTTATTTAACCATAGACCTAGTAGTCTACATAACCCAAATGTAACCCTATACATAACCTAAAACCCAATTGCAATGTAATCCAACATCTTTGATGAAACAAATCTCAGAGTAGTCAACACTACTTCTACTACTGCTGCTACTACTATCACCACTACTTACTACTACTACTACTACTACTACTACTACTACTACTACTACTACTACTACTACTCCTACTACTACTGTTAATACTACTATCACTACTACTACAACTACTGCTGCTACTACTAATATCATTACTACTACTACTGCTGCTACTACTATAACTACTGCTACTACTATCACTACTACTACAACTACTGCTGCTACTACTACTATCACTACAACTACTACTGCTACTACTACTACCATCACTACTGATGTTTTCAGAAATGTTACCATATGATTGTTCTCTTGTAGATTTACTACCAGCAAGGTGGGAAAGCGATGGTTCTCTTTGGAACAGGAGGAGAGACAGTTGGAGGTTCCCTTTGGGCTTTACCCTTAGAAGATATCATTATTTGCAACATGAGTCAGGTATATTATGAATGATTACTATGATTACAATGCACTGCCATTGTAGTTTTAAACTTGAAGTTTGTGAAACTTTTAACCCTATTTTAACTGGGCTATTTCAGACCGGGTTTTTACTGGGGGGGGGGGGGGGGGGTCAATCTAAGATCTTGGCCGTTTCACCCCCGATCGCTGCCAAAATTTGCATACATGTCAAGTGAAGTGTTATAGAATACTATGGTAATTTCAAATTTTTGAAAAATTCACTCATTTTCATATTTATGGTAATTTATGCAAATAAGGTCATACAATTCACATTTTTGCCCATAAATCAGACATTATTCATATTTAAGCATTCTTTTACACTACATATATTTGTTAGACCATTTGGAATAATAATTTGACACAAAAAATTGGAAGAGCCAGGTTATTCCTTATGTTATCTCTTGTTTTAATAATTTCTTATGTATTTCATTGTTTTGTTAACTTATGTATTCTATTGTTTTTGTTGTTTGATTTCATTTATAACTACAATTCAACTATTTTGACCCAAAAAAAAACACTTAAACTTTAAAAAAGACTAAATAACCAATGTTTTATCTCTTTTTAGGAAAAATGACTTTTCCATATGTTTTGTACACAAATTACAAAAATGAGCGATTTTCGGCCTGACATGCAAAGACTAAAGGTCACATGACTTTGTAACTATACGTCCGATTTTCAAAACAATTGTTTTAAAAGATGCGTAAGACTCAAAAGAAAAAATTCATGAAAAGAATTTTTTATATCTGCCGCGGTTCTAGAGTAGTCGCAAAATTTCTACGGGGGGGGGGGGGGGGGGGGGGGGTCAAATTGACCCCCCCCCCCCCAGTAAACATTGGGTTAAATTTCTACGGGGGGCGGGGGGGGGGGTCAAATTGACCCCCCCCCCCCCCCAGTTAACATCGGGTTAAGATTTAAACAATATTGTAGGTTCACATGGCACTGCAACAGTGCACTACTCAAAGTTTAACATTTTTATTTTGGGGTTCAAAAGCATGCAATAGATGTACAAAAATTAAGGCTCATCCCATACTGGTATTCTGGGAAATTCCATCGAAAAAAATATCACTAGCCGAAAATGATAAAATTTGTGGTAACTCCAGAAATATCTGTACAACCGTGCCAAATCTTGTATCGAATGTGGGAGCTCTAAATACTCAATAATTTCATTGGTCAATAGGACCAAAGTGTGTAATATAATGATTTCCTTTAAAAAATAATTTTGGAGGGCAGAATTTTGTAAAAATTTTGGTTTAAAATTCCTATCTTTGATTACAGATTAGAAAATTGTGATGAATATACAAAAGACTAGTGATCATAGTTTTGCATGAGGTAATTAACATTCTAAAGCGAAGATATTTATTGACTACTATGAGAGGCATCGCTGTTTCTATAGGCTCTCGGGGATGTTACATCCTGCTATGACCCCTTTGTGTTTTCTCATCCCTCCCCAGGCAAAGGTCATCTATACTGACCCTTACAAGGGTGTGATGACGCCCCCTGTACTTGTTGATCTGACCGGAGATGGCGTAAAGGACATCGTTATGTCCATGTTTAACTCAACCATTGTTGCGTTTAATGGTCAGAGCTATGAACAGCTGTGGAATTACACTTTGCCTTCTTCAGAATCATACAGGTTTGTTCAAATACACAATGGATAACACAAGGGATAACAATATCAAAATTAAATATAAGTTGACATAATAACATTCATGATAAAACAAAAATATAAAAGTTTATACAACACCTACGTGGATCCTTGTTGGTCACATGATATTCAATAGATGTTATATTGCACGGGCGTGCATTTCTGGTTATTTTGCATTATAAAAAGAGAGAGAGAGAAGATGTTTCTTGTTTAAAAGTATTAAATGAATTGTTAAATCTTAACAGACTGTACGTGGAACTACATGCACAAGAGATTTGTCCAACATTTGCTCTGGTCATTATTTCAATAGTAAGGGTTAGCTAGAATCCTATAGGTAACACAGGTTAAAAGAGGATTATGAGATTGAGTCACGCCTTTTGAATGGTGATGTTAAAGTTTGATCCCCAGACGTAAATAATCATAATATCTGATTAGTGCAAGTACACAAACTGTACCTCTATCATTGATTTGTGTAGTACTCCAGCTGCTGGTTTGTACAATGCATGATGATGAAGTTATTGTGTGTTGTACAACGTACCTGTCACTAACTGTACCTCTTTCTATCTTTAATAATAATAATAATAAATTACATTTATATAGCGCTTAACTCATTTCCTGCCATGAAACTGCTAGCGCGCTATTGTTATAGTGTTCTGTGCACGCGAGCGCGCTATCGATTGATTGCTTCGTTCATGCTAGCGAGCCACCGTTACTCTGCTTTGTGCACGCAAGGGCGCATATGTAATAACAGTCATTGTTCATGCCCATTGCACCGTGCTGAGTGCTTTTGCAGCGCTATTGAAAGTACCATCGCTTGCATCACATTATCGGCTTTGGATTACGCGTCTTTGTATACAACAGTCAGATTGGACTTTCTCGAGTAATTCAGCGATTTGTTTTTTGTAAAGATTTAAATAACACACACTTGAACCAACCTTAAAATTAACTTGGCACACAGGAGATTTGTGGCTGGCACAATAGGGATTAGCACTGTGGCACTGGGTGCATTGTATGGGTGGCAGCTTAAGAGTTAATACAAAGTTTCTAAGCGCTGAACAAAAAATTAAATTAAAGTAATGTTAACCTACAAATTACAAGAATATAATACATGATACATAATTATAATAACAAATTCCTAATAACAATCATACAATAATAATAGTTAATATTTACATAACGCTTTATAGTTAAACAAATCTTTGATTCTTTCAGTACTCCAGCTGCAGGGTTTTACAACGATGATGATGTTCCTGACTTCATGGTCGTCTACAACTATGGGCCTGGCTACCCTCTCTACTACTACGTACAGGTAAATAAAAATGTCAGATTTGGGGGTCTAAAACTCACATTTTAGTGTAGAAATGATGGGTTATCAGTCTAAAACATGCTTTATAGGGAGGTTATAGTGCTGGAAGACTTTTTCAGATATTACATGCTAAAGTGCCCCAAGACCAAAGCCAACTGCAGCAAGTTTGGTGTGTAAAATAAAGGAAGGAATGTCACTTTTAAAGAAGGGAACCTACCAACATGAAAGCAACAGTTTCCCTGACATTGCTATAAGAACATCCAGAATTGTGAAACACCTTAAGATTATTCTGTTTGATTCACCACTGCTTGGCCGATGTTTTGATGGTTTATTGTGTCACCTTTTTGTGGGCCACAAGTGACCAAGACAAATTGCATGACTTTTCACATCCAAATGAGACAGAGGTAACAAAGTTAAAACTGTAATAATTTGGGGTCACCACACTACTGTTGCCTAGACAGTGTGTAGCAAATTTGAGAGCCACAAAATGTAAGTCCAAACAGTCAGTCCTCGGCCTGTGTGTTAATGATCTGAAAGGGACGTTTGTATGGATATTAGTGTTCACTGGATCTCGATCAAGACAGATTTGGCAATATTTCTGCAAGGAGTGAAGAAACCTCTCACTCTTTAACCCTGTGGAAAGGCCTCCAAAATGCAGACAATGTGGTTTGCTAGCCCAGGTGCCGCAGGCTGGCTAACGTTCTCCAGGTGCTGCTGTTTATCGCGGCATGAATGTTTATGCCATAAATGTTATGTTATGTTAATCCAATCGGGAGGTACCATAGTTCAAATCCAAGTCCACAGGGTGTATTTTTGCATATTGGAGTTGCATCGAGGTTGATCAAAGTTAAAATGTATTTTTAAATTATTTTAATATTTATCTTGATTTTGGCCGTTCTTTTATTCCTGTTCATGCCACAGTGAATGTTTGTCCAAAACAAGCCCCACATACATATTGAGTAATCTTACTTGAATGTTAGTGTGAATTAAAATTATTATACAGTTATTGACTGGCAGGGGGTGTAATATAACATTATTTGGACTGCTGAAGGGAGTTATATTTTCCCAAAGCACGCAGTGCGAGGGAAAATATAACTCCCTTCAGGTCCAAAGAATGTTATATAACCCCTGCCAGTCAATAACTGTTATATTAGATAGCCTTTTTTGTGGGGGGGGGGGGGGGGTTCCATATTTTTTTTGCCCCAAAATTTAAAAACAAAATTTGGGGACAATCAAAATTACGTAAAAATAATCTGTCGAGATAGCTCAAGAAAGAAAAAAAAACTTACAAAAAAAAAAACCAAAAAAAAAAAATTGGGGAAAAAAAAAAATAAAATAAATAAAATCTTACCCAAAAAAGCATTTTTGGGGAAAAAATGAAAATGTGGAAAAATTAATTTCAAAGGAAAAAAAAATTCATGAAAAAAAAATTTTGAAAAAATATAATGACCCTTGGTAATGGTGTAATGTGTGTAATTGGTGACATACAGTCCTCAAGAGGGCCACATGCATTGATTAAAAATATATTCATTTCACCAGCCGGTAAAATATAACACCGAAAAGTGACCGGCCAGGAAAATATAACAATTTGGATCCTCGCAATTGATATCACGTGACAAGCTGGACCAATCACATCTCGGTATCTGTCTAAGCTATCTAATATATAGATATAGTTGTAATTCCTCTTTCTTTTGTGAAAGAAATCATAAAATTCTGTCAAGAAATTGTGCAGTAAATGACAGTGTCTGCCACTCTGCCTTTTACCCATTGTACTCCTCATACAATACCACCCAGAAGTTATTGTGCATGATTTTGATGGGTATTTCACGATAAAATATTGATGAAAACACGATGAAATACCAAACAAATCACGATGAAAACACGATAGATTGCACGCAAGTAAACGATTTCCTCTATCGGGGATGCGTGTTACCTGCATAATCACACAATATTCTATCATGTTTTACGGTTGATCAATACGCGTATTTGCAACTAGTCACGTCCTCTGAGAGCACATGTCTTACTCACCGCGCACGCTACGTCTTGATAAGGATAATTTGTACACGCAGTTCCGTATGTGTCTTTGTTTACGTCACAATAGAAAGTATTCACGTGTGAACATTACACACAGACTTGCTCACCTACGTACATGTATATGCATGGATGTCTTGACATGACTACATGTTTTGTAAATACCGGTAAGTTTTTTTCCACGAGCTGTGGATTGATCGTCGTGAATGGCCCCTGCGAGGATCCTCTCAGTACATGTAAAAATGAAGTTAAAAATTTAGACCATGTATCATGAATAGTAGGCTTACATGATTTAATGATTTTCTTTATTTACTATGAGCAAAAAATGTTGGTACTTGGTAGTGGTATTTAACTTTTCAACTTTCATAACTAATAATTTTTCCATGAACTTTTATTTGTTTAAATAACAGATTAATATCTTGGATGGAAGGAATGGACAACCTCTTCTCCAGAAAAACATCATTAGCTCAGGTTCTACAACCACTTCTCCCTTGACTGTAAGTACTGAGGGATATGGCAATGATGCATACTTCTACTGGAGACTAGGTTGTGAAGGGCATGAGCAAGAGACAGAGGCCTTTCATTTTCTTGGAGAAGAAGGTAACCATGCATTGTATTCATTTTTTTCTTTGAATACCTATATTTGAAATTGTCCTTTTAGTGATGGGTACATAATAAGATAAACAGTGGCATACATGGTAAATTAAAAAAATATTATTACCCGTATTAGACATCTGACCTGGTCATTTACAAAACCGTATCGCCCTAGTTTTCATTAGCAGTGGGAACAAAGGGATATATTCTTTGTATTTTCCTTGGTCTCCCTGCCCGTATAGACTTTGCATGTAGAGACGAGTGAAAATATAGTTTCATATTGACCGCACTCGCACTGCTGGTTGACAAAGTTTGTTCAGTTCTTTAAGATTGTCACGGTTGATTAATATGTATTTGCTCTAGATGTCTGATTTGGATAACCATAAAAATATTGACTGGCTTAACTTTCGGGAGATACTCACAAGACCCATATTGCCCTCGTCTTTGACTCGGGGCAATATGAGTCTAGTTTGGGCAATATATGGGGTATCTCCCTCAAAGCCAGTAAATATTATATAATTATTTTTAAAGAATAAGTGGACATGATATCCTTCATTAGGAACTCCATGAATTAAGTAATGAATCTCTTCATCTCTATATTGTTTTCTTTAGTTTTGTTTGCACCATTTCATATTGTTGAAATCTCTTTATTTGTCTCTCTTTCTCTGTATATTTAAAACAAAGAGTCTTTTCTCCTACTAACTTTTACTTCAATTTGTCTCCCTCTTTGCTGTCACTGTTTCCTTGATGGGCCAAGTTTCTGTTAAGGATCAAGGCAAAAAATCCCTGAGTCGAACCAATTTTTGTCAGGAGAGGTTCAATACAGGATTTGTGACGACGGCAAGCCTACTGAATCAGCACATGGATGCTCCTGGGCAGAGTATCTATACTTCAGGTAATGTATATGATATACTTGTACTATTACTAGCACTGCTACCGGAACTACTTCTACTACTACCTTTACTACTACTACTACTACTACTACTACTACTACAACTACCACTACTACTACTAATACTTCCACTACTACTACTACTACTACTACTAAAACTACTACTTCTACTACTACTACTTTTACTACCAATGGTCCTTCTACCACCACGAGCACTACTACTACCACCATTACCACCACAACAAATACTACTTCTACTACTACTACAACTACTACTACTTCTACTACCACTACCATTACCATGACTACTACTACTACTACTACTTTTACTAATGGTCCTTCTACCACCACCACCACTACTACTACCACTACCACCATTACCACCACAACAAATACTACTTCTACTACTACTACCACTACCACCACTATTACTACTACTTTTACTACTACCACTACCACCACTACTAACACCACTACTACTACATCTACTGCTACTTCTACCACTACCACCACCACTTCTACTACTACTACTACTACTACTACTACTACTACTACTACTATTACTACTACTACTACTAATACTACCACTACTATTACTACTCATTACTATTACTACTCATTACTACTTCTACTACAACTCATCACTACTCATTGTCACTACTACTTCTACTACTACTAATAATAATAATAATAAGAGAATGCAATTTTTTTCTTCTAATTTGATAGGAATAAAAACTATATATTTTAGTTACTTACTATTTAAGCAATAGTCTTTTGTTTAAATCTGCAAAGGGATATATGCCTGCAACATTTCAAGCATTATCAAATATTATCAACAATTTCTTTTTGTGCTCACCCTGATACAGCTGACCGCTTTGCAGATGAGCACAGATATGAAGTCAATGCTACTCGTATGGCCATGGACTACCTGGACAAATACCCTGAAGTAATAAATATTGTACTCAACGCACAGAAAGAGCAGAACGAGCAAAAATACGACAAGGAGCAGAAAGAAAACAACGACCAGAAATACGACAAGGAGCTGAGAGAAAACAACGAGCAAGCAGCGGTAGAACCATCCTCACCAAAGAAACAACATCAGGTAAGTTCATATTACAAGAACCAACAAATGCAGGTTTACATTTTTATTCCTCCGTTACGAAGTAGCCTGAGGCATTATGTTTTCGGGTTGACCGTCCGTCCGTACGTCCCGTTCTTGTGATCGCGTTATCTAAAGAACCAATTAATCGATTCCTGCCAAACTTTAGTCATGTATGTATCTTGCAGAGTCGATGAATTGATTAGATTTTGGCCTCACGAGGTCAAAGGTCACAGGGCTCATTACAGTACACGCCGAAAATCTCCGCAACACGATTTACACGATTCAAAATTTACACGATTCGACTGCTCGCGGGAATCGTGTAACCATTTATTTTTACACGATTCGTTTTTTGCCAATGAAGCGAAATTTGAATCGTGTAAACGTGTAATCGTGTAAAATTACACGATTCCTCAATTCAGGTCGAATCGTGTAATCGTGTAATCTGCCCGCCGAAAATCTCCGCAACACGATTACACGATTCAAAATTTACACGATTCGATTGCTCGCTGGAATTGTGTTACAATTTATTTTCAGTGGTGATGGTGAGCAGGTTAAGCCGTCTAGTTCAGTAAAAGCAAGAAGTTACTTCTTGGTTGAACGAGGACAACGTGGACGATACGAGGGGATAGCGAAGATTACGCTTTCTTTCTCTTGTATATATTTTTAATTGCAGTGTCTTGTCTCTAGTTTTATTATAGAATGTTAGAAAGTTAAAAAAATCAGTCCACTTCCCGAAAAGCACTCTCGGATTTAATCCTCGGTGAGAAAAAAGAAAAAAGCGATGAACGACGAAGGAAGGGGGGAATTATTATTCCTAAGTTGTAAATAAGTAAAAATGATTACAAAATGTAAAGGAGGGCTAACATAATTAAGTATAATGTGATACTTTTACATTACAAGGCTGTACCAATTAGAATTACGGTTCACCAGCTCATTCGTTACTATGAATATCGTTATACTTTTTTGTATTCAATCATTATCCATTTTACAAACCTGGTTTGTAAAAACGCGTCATATGACGCACGAAAACCAAGGTTTGTCGACAAACCTCCTTTGTGAGTTCGGGCCTTAGACTTTGATCACTTATTGCTTTTTTAGCGTTCCTCATTTTCGTAAATTACCTTTTACAACATTGCATTATTCAGCTATATGTATAAAGAGCTACGGTTAAGGCTTAAGGGCACACTTCCTGTCACATACAAAAGAAGCTTACTCTGAATGTGGCCTGCCATTGACCCTCGCCGGGGACAAAGGCCGTTGCCCTAGCTACAGGCAGAGATCCTTACATAATACCTATTGTTCAGGGGGTTCCCCTTGAACATAGGATCCCCCTGAACAATAGGTATTACATGTACGTAAGTATGTAAGCCACTGGCTACAGAGTGTAGAACCAGTTGCAAGCCGAGAATGAATAGAATAAGTGAATGGCCAACTGTCTTTGAGTTACGTTTAGCTAGCGGCACAGTGTCCCCCCACTTTTTCAAGTTCCCCCAAAGTGCCCCTTTGTATGTAGGAAAAGTACCTATTTTACTTTGACAAGTGTCCCTATTAATTTGTAAAAGTGCCCCTTCCCCTTTTCAACTCTGATAAGTGCTCCTTTTCTTTTGACACACACCCCTTTTCCTTCGACGAGTTCCTATTTTCCTTTACAATAAGTGTCCATTTTCCATTCTCATTAGTGTCCTTTTAATCTCTAGTAAGTATCCCTCTTTAAGTACGAGAAGTGCCCCTCTTCACTTTTGATAAATGCCCCATCAACTCCGATAAATGCCCCTATTAAAATCTGATCGGTGCCCCTTTTCTTTCAACTAAAGCTTCTTTTTTTTTTTATCTTTCTCTCTCTCTCTCACTCTCTCTCTTTCTTTCAATATCTTTCCATTCCCCCATATCTTTCTCGCCTCTCTTTCCCTCATTATGTTCCCCTCTTACCTTATTAATTTGTCTCTTTTCCTCTCCGTTTCATAGCCTTCTCATTTCTGTTAATTTTACTAGGTTTCGCCCTTCTTTTTTTTATCACTCTATTTCACTCTTTCTTTTCTTCCGGTCAACTTTACAGTTTTCCCTTTTTTCTCTCTTTTTTTCTGTTTATCTTTATCGTGCCTTTCAACCCTCATTTTCCTTTTATATGTTCCCTTCTCCTCGTAGCTATCTTTTTTCCTTTACTATTTCATCTGTCATGTCTTCCTGTTTCTGACGTTTTCCTACCTTGTCTCACGGATTAGTATACGATACATGTTAGTGGAAAGTGCTGAGGTTTATACACGAATATAAAGTACAGTAATTAACTGATGTACACTGAAGGTAAGTTGTGTAAAAAGCAATTGGTGTAAGCAGGATAAGATTTAACGATTGTTGCAGCTTGTCGCATCGTTCTACCAATGCCCTTATTACCCTAATAACTATTTACACGATTACACGATTCAGAGCGACATTCTTCAATCGTGTAAATTTACACGATTACACAGTTACACGATTGTTACATCTGGTCGAATCATCCGACCAATGCACTTAACTATTTACACGATTACACGATTCAGAGCGACATTCTTCAATCGTGTAAATTTACACGATTACACAGTTACACGATTCAGGTGAATCGTGTAAACCGTGTAATCCTAAAAATAAATCGTGTAATCGTGTTGCGGAGATTTTCGGCGTGTACTGTATGTACGCAAAAATAGCTTGTGATCACATTAGAACAGATGGACAGATTACCATGAAACTCAGGACATGTATGTATCTTGCAGAGCCAATGAACTGAGTAGATTTTGGGGTCATGAGGTCAAATATCAAAGGGTCATACATATATATGAGAAAAAGCTTGTAATCACAATATTCTGAGAACCTGAAAATGGATTACAATCGAACTTGAATTTGACAAATTTCTTCTGTTTTGGTTTGTAAAATTGCTCTATAACGGAGGCATCATTTTCGACTGCACGCAGTCAAAGTTTCATCTAGTTTCTTATCTTTTCTTAATTTTACTGGTTTTCATGATTAAGTATAACATTAGAAATAATAATCATGTTGCAATTAAACAAACTATTTCAAATAAATGTACAGAACATTGATATTTTTGTTTGCCTTAAACATGACTAAACTGTGAGTGTAAATACTTACTTCTTGGACTGTCTGTAATAGAGGATGTACTATACTTCAATAGTTTACTGTAAAGCCAGAAACTCTTCCAACATGACATTTGTACAAATGATTAATGGCTGTTTTTTACGGCAGGCAATGTATTTGCAACAACAAAAATTTAAATCATTTACATACATGTATAAGGGAATGAGCATGTAGTGTACAGCAAACCAGAAACTTTAAGAATATGATACGTTAAATAATCATAAGTGATAGACCTTTAAAAAGAAGAAATCTATTGGCAATAGTAGGAACATAAATCACTGGAATGAAGAAGGACATGCATGGAGTTTTGTCTGAAACGAAAATCTTTGCATAACATTAAAAGCATGAAATTTGTTTGCAATCAGAGCAACAAATGACTTAACCCTTTGCTTACGGGAACCTGGTGGTCCCTGTGTTAATCCTATGGGAACTATACAATTCAGTAGTCAACGGGTTAATTGTAATGGGACATATTCATATCTTTACCGTAAGACTTGAAACTATCCGGACACTATTGGCAAATTACAACCAAAATTTTCATTGCAAGAAATTCATTTTGCAACAAAATTATAAATCCTGAATCTGGTGTGCTCATAAAGTCTGCAGTAGTGAAATGTTCACTCTATACCCTGGAGACAAATCTAATTGCCAAAAAAAAAGCAAAATCAGGAATCTGGAGCACTCTTGATATTTTGAATATTGGCTAGGGTTAGTCTGGAGACAAATATAGTTACAAATATCTTTTTAAGATATTCTGACAAATTTATTGAAACATTAGTTGTCAAGTGTAATGATGTTACTGTGAAAACAGAATACCATGAGGGCAATCTTCATCACAAATACCAGTACAAGAATATACACAGACTTGAAGAGGAAGTTTAATAATAATAATAATGATTTTTAATTTGTATATAGCGCTTAATACAAATGTCTCTAAGCGCTTTACAAATATAAAGCTGTAGAAAAATCCAGGACAACTCAAAATACTAAAAATAGGATGGAATAACCAACTTCTGTGTCTGCAAATCACAACAGATCTCCCTTAATAATAGCCACATCATTCCCTCTCTATTACTTTCATCCTATTCAGACTCCCAAGCTCACAACCGCATCTCCACACACCGAGACACCTACACTTGATTTCCAGAGTGAGTATTATAAACTGATGGCCCGATTGTCTGCCTTATCGGACAATCTCCAGGATCAAGGTGATTCTCCCGGTGATGAGGATGACGGATTACCTGACCAAAGGGATCATTCAAACAAAGAGACCAACTATGAACTAAGTACTAAGAAAAGTGATGATAGGAGCTCACCAGAACTTAGAGCAAATGAAGCAACAATGACCACTACCTTACCGCCGGATGATGATTCTTTGTTGGCTGGAGATATTGCAGGGAAGCTCAAGGATCTTGGTCTCCCGGATTCTTGGTTTGGATCTCCAAAGGAAAAGAAATCGGGAGGAGAAACGGGCGATGAAAATCCCTTCGATAACCTTGATGGCCTTTCAGAGGAGGAGATTGAGGACATCATCAAAGACCTCCTTGGACTGGACAGTGAAGGGAAGATTGGAGGAAAGACCAGTAGCTTCCTGTCCAAGCGCAATGCCAGGTTCTTAGATGCAAGGTCCAGCAGGTCCAAGGATGAGCAGCACCTGAGATCACGCCGTCATGCTGGGCTCCATGATGCAGGAGGGATCCAGAGACTCATCTCTACAGGAACCCTGGCTCCACCTCTTAGTCCAGTCCTGGATGACCTACCCAGCAACCCTAATAGCATCGATGTCATCTTTGCGACATATTGGTTCTATCCTAAACCCAACAGGGTGAGCTGCTTACAAATTTTCACTTCAACCCTGTATTTGTGTACATGCATTCTTTGTTGAATGTTATGCAAAGTTTTCTTGATGGATCAAAGCACAGATTTACATAATTGCTTAATGTGTGACTACCCACGCCTTCAAGCAATGAGGTATATGCTACATGTTTGAAACATGTAAATGGACGTATAACCAACATAGTAAAATGCTGGCAATAGTCTTGATGGCAGAAGTAGTTGTGAAATGTTTTAGCCTTAATAAGAAAGATGGTTCTTGGAAATATCCTTGCATCGTTTGGATGAATAATATTAATAGTATTAAGTAGAGGAAATGAAATTGTAGTTGATGAAATTAGGAGGTGCTTGTAGTTCTTTAAATACAAGAAGTGGTAATAGTGGCTGAATTTGTGGTATCAATGCGATTGTAAACCAATAGTTTAGATGAAAATCCTTGGATCGTTTCTAATTACATTTTTTTTTTTAATAACATGTTTGGCAATCTATTGTTCATGACACGTTTCCTTTTTTCTTTTCTTATTCAGGTCATCACAGCTAAAGAGCAAAAATGCATTGACGATTGGATGGATAATGAAAAACAGAGAATGGATCCAAGCAGTAAGTTTGCATTTGTATGGCTAGAACTCAAGTGCAATCAATTTGCAGTGCCCTTGTCTGAGCATAGGCATAATTGGGCAATTGCAATAAAACCAAGCACTCAATGATAGCAACATTTTCATATGTATTATAGTGTAATAAAATGTGAGCATCAAATATTACTTCTATAAATAGATATTTCAAGGTCTCGACGCAAGGCTCGACGTTCAGAACAAATTGACAGTCACTGACTGCTTAATTGTCATCAGGAGTTGTGACATTCCATATACAATTTATGTCTTTATTAATCTGGTGGAGATGCTGACAGAACAAAGTTCATGTGATTCAAGGTCCCCATGACTGAAAATTTTCACTCTGTGTACAATGATTTATATGGTTTATGAGACTGGAAGGTCAACAGCATCATAGGAATTGGTCTTGTGTGCCTTCTGTCAACTTCATGTACCGGAAGCATCATGAGAACTGGACGTACATAAGTCTAATTTTCTAGGTCTTATTTTGAATGGATTTTGTGTGCTTTTGTTTCTCCTACAGATGAGTATTACGGGCTTGACCATGATGCTTACGATCATCTGGGATCAGAACATTGTAGGAAGTTAGGTAAGACCTAGGTAGACTAATCCACATTTATGACAAAGATTTATCCTCATTTCTTTTTTGTAATGTAGAATGTACGGTGCCAATTCCTTGAGAACATTTTAAATCTCTTTAAGTGACCAGATAGACCTACAGTTGATTTGAATATACATGTAAGCATCAATAGAGAAACATATATGTGAGTAATGTGTTTGTCTTTATGCTTATGATAATAGAATAGACCTAGATGCTGCTTGTCAGTATCGGCTTGCATGGTGATGTAGATTATACAGTAGGCTTGCGGTAGCACCTTGTAAGAGAGAGGGAGGATTGAGGAGTCCTGAAAAGGACTCTTGGTAATCTTTCTTGAGGGTGTGTAGTCCTTAAAAGGACTGTTGGTGTAGTCTTAAAAAAAGACTGTTGGTTATCTTTCTTAGCTTATAGTTCTAAGGAAAACTATAGCGCCGGTTGGAGAGGATGGGTGGCGTTAGTGGCTCGGTGTTTCAAACAGGTTGACTATCCGTCGTCAGGAGTGACATGAGTGACTATCGTGACGACGGATAGTCAACCTGTTTGAAACGTTGAGCCACTCCTGCCACCTATCCTCTCCAACCGGCGCTTCCTTAGAACTATAAGCTAAGAAAGATAACCAACAGTCTTTTTCAAGACTACACCAACAGTCCTATTCGTGACTACACACCCTCAAGAATGATTATCAAGAGTCCTTTTCAGGACTCCTCAATCCTCCATCTCTCTCACAAGGTGCTACCGCAAGCCTACTGTGTAGAATAGACCTGTTTGTAAAACTGTCTTCCCAAGATCATGAGTAGCCCATTTAAGGACATTCAGCTCAAGTATGTAGATGGTTAATTTTTATCATTTCTTGGGCTGTTTTTTATTTTTCGTTCTCATGTCTACTTTTCTCCAATCTATAATGAAAAGAGACCAAAAAGAATATCATGGACCAACCTGTTTCCCAACTACGGGAGAAGGAAAGATCTAGTCTCTTTTCTTGGAATCCACATTTCTCAAAGTTGAACTCCCTCCTCATACTTTCAAAATCGTGTTGCTGCCCCTCCCAATGATAACAATGTGTGGATTTGGTCATCCTAAGTGTATTTTGTTATATACCGGTATTACAGCTGCTTCTGTTCCAGCGCCCCCGACAGATGCGCCTACCGACCCTCTCAACATCTACCCCTTCAACCTGGATGCAGGGGAGATGACAGTCTACAGGCTACGCCTCTCATGTGACTGCGGTCTCAAGGAGGCGCAAAGGAGCAACCCAGGGGCGCGTTGTGCCAGAATCTTACCCTACCACCAGCAGGGGTGGGGTGCATACATGGGTACCTACGGAAACACCTACTTCACAGAGAGAACGAAAAAAGATGGAGATGATTAAACTTTGTTTTAAAGAGGCCTAAAGGAGAATCCCAGGGGCGCAGTGTACCAGAATAGAATGTTACCACCAGCAGGGGTGGGGTGCATACATGGGTACCTATGGAAACACCTACTTCACGAAGAGAACAAAAAAAGATGGAGATGATTAAATTTAGTTGTAAAGAGGCCCTTAAGGACAAACATACACTTCCACAGGCACTGCCGACAACTGACAGAAGAAAATAAAGAGATAAATATATTTGTTCATTCTTTTTTAGAGAGAGGAATTGTATAATATATAGATTTTATGGGCATTCATTAATTTGTAAAAGCATTATTATAAAAAAGAGGGTAATATTAAAGCGATTGCATTAATAAGGTATGCATTCTAATTCCATGGTCTATAAAAACATGTAACCAGATGCTTGATTTGTTAGGGAAGAAGATATATATTTTTATCATATCCATGATATATGAAAACAAATGTACATAGAAGTGTAGAGAATATCCTCGAAGACTGGTCGAAAGTTTTGGTTGCCTTATTTTTCCATTTAACTCATAAATCTTGTAACAAAACATCAACAGGCAATTCATGTACAATGAAGTAGTGGCATTATCTTGCCAGTGCGATGGGACCTGCTGATGTTAGAGTGCTCAAGTGAAACACCCACCTTTTTGTTCTGTTAGTTTACAAACACTACTGTATATGCAATTGTATCCTTGTATCAAGTTTGAATAAGCATGCAAGGCTGAAGGGATTAGTTTTAGGGTGTATAAGATCAAAGGTCAAAGTTCACACGGTCATAAAAGTGTTAATGACAATTATTAATTATATTGTTACCGCGATAACTTGTAAAGTATTTAAACAATTCAAACCAAACTTTGAGTTGAAGTATGAGTGAAAGGGCAAGGATGTACTTAGATTGTGGGTGTATGAGGTTTGAGGTCAAAGGTCACAGGGTCATAATGGTGTTAACAAAAGCCAGAAAATATGTTTTACTGTTTGTACAATTTGCAATTAAACTCAGCTTTTAGGAATGGTCCAGAAGGTTTCTAACCTCCACCTTGGAATGGTCAGCAAGAGGACATTACAACTGTGACCTTTGAGAATTTTATCAAAGACCAGAGGTCACATTGACAGCTATTGCTTTCAGGAGATTAACTTGCTTACCGAAGATCCTAGAGATATATATTCTGTATTGAGATCAAAAAGTTTAAATCTCAAATGTCTTATCCTAATTGTTATCACCATATACAGCATTTTCAATGTGTTACAATAACAGTACTTTCCATGAAATGTCCATGTATATTACTGGACACTGTAGGCATGCCATTTAAATTGATTCAGCCATGTGCTCTTTAGAGATGACTATATGAGTGAGGCAGATGTTTGTGCTCTGTAAGGCTATTTTAATGAAATTAGGAAAAACAGGGGTCACAATGTCATGCATAAAACACTAAGCTGTGTGTATAGACAATGATAAAGAAAATAGTGGGGTTGCGTATTTCAACTTCTTGAGTTTTTTTGGAGGTCGAATTAGTTTTTGCAGAGGCACATCAATTGGTGTAATATCATGAAATTCTATCTGATAAAGAATAATCATATTTGTATATTTTTGTATTATTTGTATATTTTGTTCTGTCCATCTTTTGTTATGCAATAACACAGGGTGGGTGGGAACACTGGGGTTAATAAAGTGTAAATTTATTTAGGCGATTTTTATTTCTCGGGAATCGTTCAGATTCTTTCCATTTGCTATATTCATGAACAAGTTGACATGATGTTAATTTATTTTCAGTGTAGCTTGTCACAAATAAATGAATTCTCTGGTCACATAAAAACATAACAGTAAAAAATTTAACAGTAAAATGTCTACTCTTGTATTGGGAGAAAACAAATTATTATTAACAAATATCAAATGCTGTTCCTATTCACCCTGGTGTTCTTTTTCTACTTGTTTTAAAATACTGTTGCTTAGTTATACATGAAATGGTTATTGTATCTAATCTTGAGAAACACAAATAAATGCTGGTGGAAATATTAAAGATAAGGTCATTGTATTGTACAGCTCCTCCAGTGAGATGATGATAAATTTGTCTTTTCTCATGGGATTGTCGTTTTAAAATGTGATGAATATTTTTCGTAGCTTAAAGAAATATAATGGCATTATTATAAGGACATGTCTGCGACCCGTCCTATAAAGAGTTGATATCAATCACAGCTTACTTGCGATTGATATCTATCGCAATTATGTTCATAAAAGATGAAAGACTGCTAACTAGCAATTGATTTTGAATTAATCACAACTTTTCTTAAGATGGGACCCCCGAGTGCAGAATTCAATTATTGTTGGTGATGTTTGTCAAGTTGATCAAAAGTTCTTTTTGAAAAACCTGAGATGGTAAATGCATTTACCGGCTCCATATCCTAACGATATGGTTCTACCTCAGCATGATATAATTATGATTATCAACAATCATGCCGTTAGTTCCAGACGCGGTTTTTAGTGCCACTACATTTTGCTAATCTACCTGTATTTAGTAAAATCTTCTTGTATTGATAGTCTGGTAAAATTGACTCAGATTGGAATTTTGTTAATGTATGAAAAAACATGTTTAAATCTCCATTACTAAATGGTAAAATGGTAAATAGTTCTATCATTAGAGTCATGTCTTGTTTTTAAAGGAAGGTGCCTTTTTACGTTACAGATAACGTTTAGTTCACACAAATGTACAAACAAGATATTCAATATAACATTCAACAACAATAGGTGGCTTGAATATAAAACAATTTGGCACAAGATGACTGTTTGACTAGCACTGTTTCGTTTTTATTGTTCGCATAGAGGCTGATTGACATATACATGTATACAGTACTAATATTATATTCCTTGATTGATTTTACAGCATTTCATTTGCAATATTTTTGTACAGTATGTAAAATTGGGAGCATGGCATATTAACAGTATATATTCGCTTTATCATTTAGCTCATTTTGCAATCGTCTATACTGATTGTTAATACGACAAACTTTGTAATAACTGAATTTTTCTTCTGATGCCTGAGGATTTATCATTCTAAAGAGGGTTAATGCAGTATATTGTAGAGGGTTTGGGTCTATAGTGGATACTTCGCGAGACTAATGAACAGATTGTTTCGGGATCGAGTCCTGCAGTAAAACTAATGTCCTTTGGCAAGACATGGATAGATCTACATTTGCAACTCTCAAGTCTAGTGAGGTAAATGGGTACTTGGCGTGAATTAATTCCTTGAACTGCTAGAGCGCCATAATGCCGGCCATGCTCAAGTGGAGGTAATACTTGTGGAGCACCAGGTCTCTATTTCACAAAACTTGTCATCAGTGACAAATAATAGTTTTTGTTATTAGCTACTGAAATTCTTGCTTTCGATTGGGTATCAGCAGATCGTCATTGTCAGGAGTGTCAAATTTAACAGTCATGAGCTCTTTACAAGTACCCACTATTATTATTATTATTATTATCTTCATAAAAGTTTCGGATGGAGATCATTTATTGTAATCGTTTCTCTTTAAACCTCAGTTATTTTTTTTGTCATTTTAATTCTAAAGGCCCGGTCACACAGCCCTTTACGGGCGTATCGCGGCCGAATCACGGCCAAAAATTTCTGCCCGTGAAGCAGACGCTGTTGGACGCTTTGAGGTCGCGATAAAGACGCGATACAGCCGTACTTTACCCGTCGTTACACGCGGTAAGAAATTCACACGCGGTTGGCCGCGCGAAAAAGTTTTGGGCTGCCCAAAAATTTAGACCGCGGGTAATCGCGGGCGGTACACGTGGTGCACACGCGGTAAAGACGCGGTACAGACGCGGTACAGACGCGGAACGAACGTGCTAGGACGTGCTACGGCCGCGGTTAAGACGTGGTTACACGCGGAATTGGACGCGAAATTTTAGCGGGTAATCGCGGGTGGAGCACGGTCATATCACGTTTGTTCCGCGTCTGTACCGCGTTGTTATCACGTACATTAGCGTGTGTACCGCGTGTAAGCGTGGTAGGCCGCGGTACCGCCGCGCTTCACCCGCGATAAGGACGCGGAACAGTCGCCGGCGTCTGTTCCGCGGGCATACCACGGGTAAACCGCGGGTAAGCCAATTTTGCACATTTTTCCACCACGGGCAACCGCGGGCAAAATAAAATCGCGAAATTTTACCCGCGATACAGACGCGAAAGGCTGTGTGACCGGGCCTTAAGATGTATATTGAATCCATAAATTGATGAAATAAATACCGCCAATCTAAATGAACTTAATTTGTACATGTGCATTGTATCTTCATTAAAGTGCAACCATTATCAATAGTCAAAAGCTGTTTATATTTCATTCGACACAAATGCAGGGAAAGTGCACTTTGTCCTTGGCAAGATGCAAATAATGCACAGACAATTTCAATTAAATCCCCACTGCACTACTTATAGCTACTTGCGCCCTCTATATAACAAACAATGCCTAGTCGGTGCCTGTTTGTCCCCCATGATCCCCTTTTTTAAATGTTAATTGAGAGCCGGTTTGAATTTTTGAATTTTTGAATTTATTGATAACAACACATCACAATAAGTTGACATAAATGGCTTGATAGCTGATGAGCTAGCCGCAAACATTGTGGAAACACATTAAAAAAATCATTATTAAATGACAAACCTCTTAAATAAATCAGAGAAGCAGAACATACGGTGGGATTTTCAATGAAATCAGATAAAAAAGAATTAAGATATATATTTTTGAATGGAATTATGATCACTAAACCTTTCAATAGTACACAAAGGAACTAAATTATTTTATTCATATTATTATTCCTGAGGGTCCCTCTTTTTCAGAGAAACTATGGTAAATAATACGCTATCCATAAAATGTCTTGAGTAGTGCCCAAGGGAGAAGATACTTATGCGAAAATCAGATTTTATGACATTTTTGTACATGAAAAATGGGAGAGATATCCTCATACGTCACAATCCAGTAAATAAATTGCCAATTCGAGAATTATAATATCATAAGAACAATAACAATAGTGTTAAAGTCAGTTCACAAGTTAGTCTAAATATACTCATATGTTGCAATGTTACCTTCAAATCCATATAAACATCAATACATTGATGTCTTCTTTATTTGTCATGTTTGTCCCAACAAAATTTAATGACGACACTGAAGAAGAGCTGAAACACATCGTGTATGGTTAGTATAACATTTGTAATTACTTTCTATAAACATGTTCATGAAAATGTCGTACATTTTAGTATGCTGGATTTCCTGGTCTAGATGGTCGACATCGCTGAGTTGATGGGCTCGCCGGATGAGGGCGTTGTGGACTGATTGTAGTACGTATGGATGGTGGAAGGATCTGTAGCGAAGATATCTATCGGTGTGTGTGGGTTTCCTGTAGACTTGGTGAGCGGGCTTGCCGGATGGCGATTTGGTAACGAGGACGTGTAGGAAGGGGTGCTGTTGTTTTGCTCGGTCTCCATGGTGAACTTGATGCTCGGGTGATGCTGGTTGATGTGGGCGAGGAAGTGGCCTAAGTCACGTCTGTTATGTGGCCAGATGACGAATGTGTCGTCGACATATCGGAGCCAGAGAGAAGGGCGTTGTGAGAGAGTCTGGGGTGCCGTTGTTTCGAAGTGCTCCATGAAGATGTTGGCTATAACCGGGGAAAGAGGCGATCCCACGGCTGCGCCTTGAAGTTGCTGGTAGTAATTGTCTCGCCATTTGAATGAAGTAGAGTTGAGGCAGAAGTACATGAGGTCATGTATTTCATCTGGTGTCAGGGGAGTTCTGTCGGGGAGGGTGTCGTCATGCACTTTCGAGACGATTCGGCAAGATTCGGTGACAGGAACATTGGTGAAGAGAGATTCAATATCGAAACTGACCATCATGTCTGTATCGTGTATGGTGGTCTTGGAAGGAATGTCAATGAAATGCTTGGATTTATTGATGTGGTGCTGTGATTGTTCTACGAGTAGTTGGTGAATCGAGGGCAGGTGTTTGACTGTGTCATATAGCAGGGCAATCCTCGGGTTGAAATGATGGGGCGAAGTGGAATGGTAGGTTTGTGTATCTTCGGCTGGCCAAACAGGATGGGGCAGGTAGCTGAAGATGAGCGAAGTTTGAAGTAGAGTGGCTTGGATAATTATGAATTCTGTTATGTGAAGAGAGAGGAGTCGCCATCATTCTTATAAGTACTCCTCTTCATATCTGGTCAGTGCCTCTTTTCCTTTCTAATAAGGGACCTATCCCCTTTTTATAAATGCCCATTTCCGACTCTTATGAATGCCTCTTACATTATATTATGGGTGCCCCAACTCCGTTGACTAATGCCCATTTACCATTCTCATAAGTGCCTTTTTTAATCCTAGTGATTTGATTTTTTTCAGGTATAAGAAATAGGTGTCTTGTCCTTTTCGATTCGTGTCCCCTTTTCTTTTCTTTTTAAACATGCCCCTAATTTAAAGTGACTAAGAGCAATTTCCCCCAAGGCTCGCTCGCTTCACTCACTCGCATTCATAGATTATATAATTATGTTACTTAATTATCAAAGGCCTTTTCAGTCTTCCGTTATGAGAATGTGAGTATCACCCCACCAGGATTGGGTTTTGTTTTTATTTATAAGCACTGCGACCTCACAAATCTTGAAATTTTCCCTTGCTTGCATTTGAATATTCAGACCATCACACCCAACTGCAAAGTATGATGCTTATACAATATCTTGTTTGATGTATCAAGAGAAATACATATTGAAAGCATCCCATTTAATGTAAGCACAATGTAGGGGGTATATACCAATGTCTAACTAATTGCATATTTTCGCTTTGAGATTTCCCTATGTATATAGGTGCCCTTTTTTTCCCAAGAAAATGCCCTTTTTTGTTGGTCCCATCCCCCACTTTGGAAGTCGCTGCGACGCCCCTGCTCTGAGCATCATTAATCTCCGATCAGCAATTGAATTTTCCACCGTCGGTCGAAGGTTTTATATCATCGGGAGGTCACGTGACGCCTTCGTGACCTAGTTGGAACGCATCGTTCGTGTATCCATCGCGTGGCCTTCGTGACCTGCGGCTACGTACTTCTTATTATAAATTCACATCTTCATGTTGCCTTCGTGTGTGGTTCGGGTGCCATTATGTGACCTTCTGTAGGCATCGTACTTGTTTCGGCTGTTGGTTGGCTTTTGACCAAGTTCGGGGCCATCTTCGTGCGAAGTTCAAATTTCCTTCATCGTGTGTCCGTCTTATATCAACTTCGGGACAGTGTGACGCAATCATACACGATGCCTTTAAGGTTGAGTATAGTGTTCAATCAGAGACAAGGGTTGAAGTTAGGACTTTAGTTACTGGAGGAATAATTAACTGCTGAGCGTATGTCGCCGGAGCCCGGAACATACATAGCCTACGTCTTAGAACCCATCATAATTGTCCGACTTTTTGGTTATGACTGATAGCGTGTCCACACACAAAACAATTTATCCCGAAACTCTATAACGAAACATCAAATAAAGAATCATCGTATAAATTCCAGGGTGTCCACACACAAGAAACGTTGTATAAAGAATCATCGTATAAATTCAAGGATGTCCACACTCAGAAGAAAGTAATCCTGAAACTCTACAGCGAAATATCGCAGTTTGCTACTGCGATCATGAAATGGTAGCGGAAATAAGAGGTCAGGTCTCCTTTCGCTCGAGGTCACGTTAAGCCCCGCCCAGTTATACCGTTCTAGTTCGACCAGCTATACTAGTTACGTCCACACACAACACATTCCGTGATTAGGCGTGATTATTTATACGTCGTATAACGAAACGCAGGTTTAATTGGGCATCGTTTCGTTATACGACGTATAGTTAGTAAGCATTCGTCGTATAACTATCGCGAAACAGTATAACTATCCTGAAACGGTATAATTATCACGCCTAATCACAGAAAATGTTGTGTGTGGACACGGGGTTAGTATTATGCAACGGTTGTAAGTAATTAGCTTAGCCATGGATGGCTGCACGAAATGAAACCCTACAGAACGGGATTTAGTGATTTTCATTGAGTAAGTGTTCGTCTCGACAGCTTTTTGTAGAAACACTGTGAAAGGCCCCGAGGCATGATACTCATCAAAACTCTGGCATCTAAGGAGATACGGTTCTTCATAAATGCACCAGCGTTGTATTCCATGATACATAGATAGAATTACCCTTTGGAGCAAATCAATTCTATTCGTGGACTACCTAGTACTAGTTCGTGGTATACTTGGCAAGTGATTCTCCAAGATACTCCTCATGGAATTTTAACTAGAGTGCATATCGGGAGTGATGTCACTCGAAGATATAGAGTTGACCCTTGAACTCGACGTTTGAAATATCTGTTGACCTTTAGCGGTCATTAAAGGACATGCGCGAACTCAAAACTGGTCATTTGGTGGTTTAAAAAGAAGAAGACCTATTTAGATACATCAAGGCATCTATACAGTCCTGGTCCTAGTGCTGTGAAGTAGGTCTACTTGAATATCAACGGAAGCCAACCGCATAACCAGTGTAATGAAGAGTCCCAGCAAGTTCCTGAGTTCCCCTTATTTCCCGGTGTTTCTGGTACTGTTCATGGATTGCATGGCTAAGGTTGGTCTTGTCAAGGCCATGGGTGTACTATTCCAAGATGTTTCCAGAGATCTCCAGATGGATTCCACTGACTTTGGAATCGCCCTTGGACTTTTACTCTCCGTCGGTAGCATAGCAAGTAAGTCTCTGCCATTAATGGACCATTTTCGAAATTATGCCAATCTATTACAGGTTAAAGGTATAGACCATGCAGTTCTGGACATGCGATTGCATTGTGAAAGAAACGTTGTGGACTCGATCAGAAAAGGTTAATCATCTAGCATTATAAGTATTGGTGTGTACTGCAAGGTTTTGGAATCAAAACAAATCATAAGAAATTTGGCCTAGTCTTGGTAAAGTTATAAGCACTGTACACAGAAAGATGTGACTACGCGATATCTATCCAGTCCGGCTATCCAGTCCAGATAGATATAATAATTTACCAAATACATGTATATCAATTAGTAGGCGGTTTCCGGCAAAATGTGTATCACCACGTATTAGGCAAACATCTTTTTTTCACATGATTGGTAATAAGAGCTTCCATTTCATTTTTTGAGAGGGGGCGTTTCCAAAACTGGTCTATACCTTTAACCTATTGAGCCAATCCAATTGAAACTGAGAAATCGGCAACTGTAGGCTACATGGTGGCCTCTCTAGACAGGTTCTACAGCACAATGGGAGACAAAAACATTACTATAGACAGGTGACCCCGAAGATAGCACTAGGAACTAGGAACTGCGCGTCTTGTTGAGGGTAGAATGAGGAACTGTATATTTTGTCCTCTTTCTTTGTCCGTCATGTTCATAGTGGTGTTCTCACAAATGCTCATGTTTGTATTCTATAGGCCCCATCGTCATAGCGCTGTATAACAGATGTCCTCATCCCCGTCTCTTCATGTTACTTGGTGCTGTGATGAGTCCGTGCTGCATTATTCTTGCATCGTTTACCAACACGAAGGCTGTATTACAAGTCGGATTTACCGTTTCTGGTAAGTTATTTTTTTCTTTTTTCATACGTTTTTATTTATTTCTCTCATAAAGAAAAATTGTACATAATTTATAACATAGGTCTTAATAAATTTGCAAATGAACTTTTACATTTACATACAAGGTTCCAACTAAAAGTTACACATTTACAGATGAAAAATATTTACATAAACAAAGTTATATTTTCACAAAAACAAAACAGAAATCGCAAATAAAGTTCGTACTATTTTCTCGACCAGTTTGAATATAAATCTCAAATTATTTCTTTTCCGCAATATTCTGTTTTCCTCTTAAATTTCCTTTAGAGACAAACAAATTATATATATAAAAAGAGAAAGAGCTAGAAAACACCTACTACCCCCCGCCCCAAACAACATTTAAACACATAACAAGTACAACAGTATACAAAACACACACCAACATAGAACGAACAAACAAACAAAAGAAAAATTAAAAAAGAGAAGAGAAAAAGGAAGGGAACAAATAGATGATCGATACCAATAAAGAAATATTATTGGGTCAATAGGAAATTTCGGTTAAATCATAAGCGGAATTACTTCTTTAGAATTCGATACAACGTAATTGTCTTCTTCTTTTTTTTAATTCAAAACAAAAATAGGAATATACACAGACACTCCACCGTCATGTCCGTTTCTATCTTTACGAAGAAGGTCAAAAATTACCAATACTGAGTTTACTGTTAAAAACCGATTCGTCTAAAAAGTTTCATTCAGTGCAGGAATATGAACTTTTGAACTTCATTACTCAGTAAAAATATAAGTTCATTTTGTTTCTGTTACGGAGGAGGCTACGAATATTTAGACGTGCATATATGTTGTTGCTAGGTTGGACAAACATTACAACTTGCCCTAACAATATCTAATGTATGCAATTTGCATTATGACTATTGAAATACATTTATTACCCGTAACACGTGAATGAAAGAACTAGAAACAAGGCACTTTATAACAAAGATGCATATGTATTGAATTTTATTACAATTACGAAAGTGGCATATTGAGAAAAAAAGTTAAACCGAGGGTTTGTTTGAAGTAGGTCTTTGAAGATCAGGGACTTTTAGATTCTGCACGACGTGAAAGTGGACTGCCCTTTTAAGACAATGTGACGTCCTTTTAAGGCACTGGCAGTGACGTCACATTGCCTTAAAAGGGCAGTCTACGTTCTCGTCGTGCAGGATCTAAAGGTCCCTATTGGAAGGCTCGAAGAACCCGCTTAATTTTGATTCCTCTTTGCTTGTTCCCGTCACAGGATTGGGGCACAGCATGGTCCGAATGCCTTGCCTTGTGGCATTGAATCGACTTGCAGGTGACAACTTCAACATCTTCTACAGCCTTGCATCTTGCGGACACGCTCTGGGAATGGTATTCTACCCTTTCATGGCAGAAGAGCTGCTAACTGCTTACGGATGGAGGGGGGCTCTTGTGATTCTGGCAGGCCTCATGTTTCATGAGGTCCCTTGCCTGATGACCATTCAGATGCCCTCGAAGGATATTCCTTCGAAAGATGGAGAAGGATTGCGAGACAGTGATCGAGACAAGCTCTTAGCTCCCTTGGTTGAAGAGCCCGAAAATGAATCTGATATCCCTATCGACAAGTCGCGCAACGCCGTGCATGGACACTCGCCTCTCAGTAGTATAGCCGATGTAACGCAGATTCTCCTGAAGTGGTTTCGCAGTACCATGATATATTTGGACCCAATATCTCTTTTCATCTTCCTATCACATACTTCGATGGTGTTTGTGTACAGTGGATGGCTCTCATTCCTTGTTCCACACGCCCTCCAGAGAGAACTTTCTAGCCATAACATCATTCTTTTGACATTCTGTGCTGCCGTTGGAAGCATCTCTGCAAGAGTCTCTGTGGGTTTCCTCACCCATAGGCTGATCCGTCCCATTGACATGGTTCTTATCTTGAGCATCATGAATACAGTTGTTATGGTGACTGATGTGTATATTCCGAACCTGATTGTCATGTTGATATCATCGTTTTGTTCATCGGTTAGTTTCGCAGGAAGAGGTACCCTGGGGCACTTGGTGATCAAGGCACGGGTCTCAGCTGATCACCTGGCGATGTCTTTGGCTTTCCTGGAAGTCGTTGCTGGTTCAGCAGTGTACTTTAGTGGATTCATAGCAGGTATTCCTGTTCCGTTTTACTTTCACTAATAATGATTCGGTTTATCTCTACCTATACCTCAGGGTGCTAATACCCCCCCCCCCCCCCTCCACCCCACCCCCACCAAATGTCGAAAACAAGGGAGGGGAAAAGGAGAAAGGGAGAGAGAGAGAGAGAGATATGGGGTGGGGTGTGGGAGAAAGGCAGACAAAATAAGATAGTATTCACATTTCATCCATTTCATTCACATTCCATTTCACATTCATCCTCCACCGGCGCCTTTGAAGTAAACTGTTACATAATTTTGGCTTACATAGGGAAACACAATGTGACTTTAAATAGTTCGAGAAAATGGGAGAAAGGTTAAAATAAAATAGTCTAAACTTTGGAAAGTGAGGTCAGTAATGATATGGAGAAGGTCCTCCATGATAATGTTGTCATGACCAATCCCTTCCATTCATTTTTAACCAATATTTGTCAAACTTGGTCGAAGAAACATCTCATTCTCGCCATGAAAAATGAGTCTAAATACATATTATCCACAATATATCACGAAAGAGGACACAGCACCAGGGCTTCGACCTCCTTTGGTGAGTTGGCGTCTCATTTTGGACGTTAAGTTTGTACTGTTTTTTTTATTTTTTTTATTTATTTAACACCAAGGGAAAAACACTCTCCCGTATAATATATTTATATGGAAATTAAAGATCGAATCTGGAAGAAGAAAACAAGTTTAAAGTTGTATTTTGATGAGAAACACGAGTATATTTTCTCTGTAATAATTCACAGCCCTCTCCGATCCCCATATTAGGGACTCTTAGATTCTGCACGACGAGAACGCGGACTGCCCTTTTAAGGCAATGTAACGTCACTGCCAGTGCCTTAAAAGGACGTCACATTGCCTTAAAAGGGCATTCCACGTTCTCGTCGTAGAGAATCTAAAAGTCCCTATTATATGTCTCTCCAATACAGGATTTACGGCTGACACGTTTTCATCATATGACGCGTCGTTCAAGCTCCTTGCCATCGTCGATGTCTTCACCTTTTTCCTCATGTTACCCGTCAAAATAGTAAAGAGACGAGAAACCTCCTCGTGCGAGCTGAAATGAAATTCACACGAAGGAAAGACTGTCGAAAATAAATTCACGTTTTAAACCTGTACTTAAAAAGAGATACAAACAATTACGTTTTTGTGAATAGTTTCATGTGAAATAGCCAATACCATTATCAAATGTGTCGATGCCGCTAGAGATCTTGGCGTGCAGCTAGATAAAAATCTTACAATGAAAGCTCAAGTCAATAATGTATGTAAAACCAGTTCGTTTGCTCTGCACAAAATTGGAAAAAAATCCACCAATTCCTAACCAAAGAAGCTACTAAGCAGCTGGTTCATGCCCTGATTATATCTCGCATAGATTTTTGCAATAGTTTACTACATTCTCTTCCGGATGTTCACACCAATAAATTACAAAGAATCCAAAACTCAGCAGCCAGACTAATCACTAGAACTAAATGCAGAGAACATATAACACCCATACTTAAACAATTGCACTGGCTGCCAGTTAAGTCCCGTATTAATTATAAGATAATTTTACTGACATATAATTATCAATGCCTAAACGTTACAGCCCCGTCTTACCTCCAAGATCTCATTCTACAATATACCCCTACAAGAAAATTAAGATCAAATAGTAAATCCCTCCTGGTAGCTCCAAGCACTCAAACAAAATATTATGGCACTCGCTCTTTCAAAATTCTTCGGCCGAATTGTGGAACAGCTTGCCTGATACTGTCAAACAGGCAAGCACAACAGAATCATTTAAGACTCTGTTGAAGACCTATCTTTTTGTAAATTGTTAATTTGTTCTAGCTGTTTAGTGACTCTTTGGTTATAGTATCATGTACATATTAATATTTAATTTATTTTTCATGTTTAAATTTGTATTACCTAAACTACCCTATTGCATGTAAGCTATTAAGGAATTGTGTATCATTATTGTTGTTTGTAATTAATTATTTTCATGTATCAGGCATAGATGTTCATTTCTATTCCGCCCTTTTCCTTCTTTTCTAAGCGCATAGGGACCTTCTTTGTGTTAATGATATGCGCTATACAAATAACGTTCATTATTATTATTATTATTAATCAGGTGTTAGATTTTAGGTGTTAGTTGTTAGGTGTTAGGTGTAAGGTGTTTAGTGTTATAGGTTAGAATTCTTTATTATGTCGCAAGGGACCAGCATCACAATTGTTCTTTCTTGCTGGTCCCCCCCCCCCCCCATTCGTATATGTATTTTATGTTTATCTTTCGTTATGTTATTTGTATGCTCTTTACTTATCTGTAAATATCAATGTTATAATTATTATGTTTTTATATGACGAATCGAATATATTAAATTGAAATTGAATTGATTTATTTGATAATAATAATTATATCGACTATTTAGGAGCGCTATAAAAACAAAGTACCATAGCGCTTACACACCTACAGAATAGTGACGAAGAAACATGAAATATATAGAGTTGACGATACTATGTCCCTTTTGCAGCCAACATCATATTCGGTAGAACTTTGCGGGAATTATGAATAAGTCATGTGTGTCCTATCTGTGAAATTTAAACATTACCAGCATCCTAGTATTCAAATTACAAATTGAGTGACTGACTGACTGAGCAGTAGCAGGTACACGAACATCAAAAATCCACTTCTTGTAAAGGCCAAAATAAAACTGATTGAATCTTTGTACAGGACAAAACGTACGACCATTCGGTAAAAAAGTTCTGAAAATCAGACTATTACTTAGGTGATTGCAATCACTTAAGTTGATTCGACAACCAATGGTCGTTATTTTCCCACTAAAAGTCATTTTCTAGCCCTTTCGTTTTGAGGGAAGTTCTGAATTAGTATTATATTTCAAATGCCGTTGGAATTTAATCTTTTCATTTTTTGTTTGGCCTGCAAATGGGACATAATACCTTTAAGAGAGAAAGAGAAGTTATTTATTAAATGAAATGAAAGGAGCTACGTGATTTTCAAGGAGGGAATTACAACTCTATCACTCTTGACGACTTTTTTATATTTTTTTATTAAACAATTTCCTGGGTCTCCGCTCCCTAGACTCCAGGCAAAGGCTCTTCCCCTGCACCCCATCCGTAAAGATAAAAGTGGTTCCCAATACAACCTCTGGTTTTGTAAACTGACAGAGAGTGTAGTTTAAAGCAGGGCTCCCACTTAGCCAAGTTGGAACCTCGAGTTGTGGCGAGCTGGCGCGATCTTATGGCAAGCCGTTTTATTATTAATTGATATCAATAAATCAATTCTTGATATCAAGAAATATGTTTTAATGATAAAACTGCTTGTCATAAGATCGCGCCAGCTCGTCACAACTCGAGGCTCCAACTCGGCTAAGTGGGAGCCCTGTTTAAGCTTCTAATAACCACTTCCGAGGACTTTTTTAAAAATTATTTACCCAAATCCTTGCAATCTGCTGCCTCGAGATCACTAGAGCGAAGAAAGGTAACACTGTCAATGCGTAGCAAGCGTCCCTATTAAGTGAAGGATTGATTCTTTTCATCCAGATGGATTCGTTTACCATTTTTGACCCTGAGTGCGCTTTAAACTTAATCGTCCATTGAAAAAATGTTAACTCCAGTATTAAAGTAAAGTGGGGGGGGGGGGGTAAGAGGACATTTTTTTTTTGGGGGGGGGGGGGTAAGGTCACCTTGTTTAGGTCAACCGTTGGCATAATTTTTTTTTAAATTTATTAAAAAAAATAAAAAAATCAAGAGGGGGGGGGGGGGGGGTTCAAAGAAAACATACACAAAAAATATACATTAAAAACTCAAGGGGAGGGTTAATCCCCCCCCCCCTGCGTACGCGCCTGGCATGGGGTCATGAATTTGGTTCAAATGAACATATTGGAAGCATATGCGATTTTACAATATTCAATGATCGTTGTCATGGTTGAAATCGAGTGTAAACTGATGCAATTGTAAATATTAAACCCAAAGTTGAAAAGTGGGAGAGGCATTTTTTATGATGGAATAGGGTCACTTTTCAAAGTTAAAGGGGCACTTTTCCCATGTAAAAAGGGGCATTTCTTACAAAGTCAGAGGGGGCACTTTTGGGGTTCGTGAAAAAGTAGAGGGGCGGGCTGACATTGGGCGACCTGACATATGGAACCATCTTTGAAGCTACTGTGTTTCAGGGGCGGATCCAGCCTCCGGCAAGAGGGGGGGGGGGGAGCAAATCTTGAGAAAATATTTAGTAGCGAATCAGCCAGCCGGCAAACGGCGAATCAGCGGGGGGGGGGGGGCGGGGGAGTAAGAGCACATATATGTTTTTGGGGTCCATTTTGGGGGTCCATTTTTGCGCCGACTCATCCGGCCGGTAAAGAAGCGGGGGGGGGGGGGGAGGGGGAGTGATCGAAGCGCCATTTTTACATGACTTTCTGTTTAACTCCCATTTTCACCTATCCCAGATAACCCTAAGTTTTGTGTTGCTGCTTTCTATGTAATTGATAATGCATGATTATAGAGAGAGAGAGAGAGAGAGAACCACCATCATTATGCAATGGTTAATGGTTTGTGTAATGTACATTTGAAACCATTTCTTAGCGTCTTAACCATAACCAAATAGCGAACCTATTCTTGAGGAAAAGCATTATACTGAACTGATTAAAGAATAATAACTTTATATTGGCTCATACAATAATACTGATACTGGCTAAAGACAATGTGGTATCGGCACAGTAAGATCGGGTGTTTTTATAGAGGTATTTCAAAATGACATTCTGATAATCAACATGTTATTCTTTATTCATATGTATCTACGCATAAAACAACTTATCTATATAATTTCTTTACGTGACAAAGGTTATTCTTCCTATACAAATAAAAAAGAAAACAAGGTTATTTAATAAAAGGATCATGCGACAAATAACCCGGCAAATAACCAGTGTGATCCAAATTGATGCAAATATTCTGTTTTAATAAGCAATGCTTTTCACCAGAATCTTCTTTGTAAAAAATGACTTTAACAAATCTCAGCCATGCAATTCTGCCACTGTGCTGAAATATTACTTTCAGATTACGTAGGAGCAGTATATTCTTGAACGAGTATTTTAAATTGAATGGAACGTCTCAACTCAGTAAGCATGGCTGAGCTTTGTAATTACAAAGAAGATTATGGTAAATAGCAGTGCTTATTCAAACAAATATTTGTCGCATAATCCCTTTTAATGACCTTGCTTACTTTTTCCGATCGTTTGCAAGGGGAGAAGAAGCTATGCCACGTTAAAGACGTCATAAAGATCAGATTTTTATGCGTATGTATTATATACACAGGCCTTGCGGAACGTTTATCAAAGTGGGAGGCTAAAGTATTTACGATCAGGTAGAGGGTAGTAAGCGAAGCAAAAGGAACGTAAATTGGTTTTGGGGGTTCAGGGGGCAGAGCCCCCCTAAGCTCAGGGGTTTTAGGCAGTTTATTACGGTCAGAGAAGCACAAATATTTTGATGCCGCATTTGTGTGCACTGGCAGGTCACAATATTTGTGTTGAATGCCGTAAATCATGGTCTTGAGCAATATTTAATTCAAATGAGACACTTGCTAAAGACTTAACAAATTTAATGTTGACCATAAAAGAGAAATATGTCCTCTTACCCCCCCCCCCCCCCCCCTCAAAGTTCGAGCAACAACAATGTCTTTTTAGTAATATAGATCACATGGCTTTTTATTTGATCATGCATTAGTCATATATTTTATGCACTACTAACCTCTTGTGGTGTGAATTTTGTCCTGATTTTACTACTTACTCATCTTAAGTGAATCTTAGCAGACTTAAGGAACATTTTCAATAGCCCCCCTTTTTAATTGTATTTTGATTGGGCGAAGTACAGAACGATAAATAATATGTTTTTGAAATAATAGAAAATATCATATTTGTATTGGTTTAAAAATAATTTCTATCACTTTTACGATGGTATATACATGCTAAACGATGTAATTATTCAAATAAAGTAGAAAGATATTCATTTTAAGTGACAATTTATTAAGTCTTGGAAAAGGAGCCTCTTAAAAACTACCACAGATGAATAATTACTCAA